CTGATAAAATTGTTTTTAACAGTTTCTCTTCAAGGTCTTGTGGATGCTTCATTCTGTTGTGGTTCACGAATATAAAATATGGTACATTTGAAGGATAATCATACACTATATGTACTTTTTTCACGGACAGAAAGTATCATGACATATTGCCTAAAAGTCGCTTAAAGTTTACTTTAACTGTCCATTGTTTTACACTTCCTGGAAGCTTTAGTCCTGTAAATCAAGTGTTTTTTTATTTAATTTTATTAGAACTAAATCTCAGTGTCATCTTCTACGCACAGAGCAACACCTACCCATGATCAATCAGTGGAGGTAAGGAGACAAACAACCTGCGCAGAGAAAGTGCTGACAGTTTTTGATTCTGAGGACAGACATCTACAGTGTCTGAAACACGACGCAGCATTAATAACATGTTGAATAAAACACCACACAGTAAGTGGTAATCAGCCCAGAGGTGTTAAGACTGTATCTTTTAGTTTATCTTTTAGATTCAAGTCATTAAATATAAAAATAAGTGACTGTTAACTGAGAAGCCACAGCAGGGCAAGGTCTGTACTCTAAACCATGATTTAAATACATATTTACACTAAATCTTAAAACTTTAAAGCAAACATTTTATTTCAATTGTCTGTGAATAAAAAAATTGACATGGCTTAATTTTGTTGAAACTTATGAGTTATAATATTGTCACTTTGTCAGTGACCATAATCTGATTACAGAATATTAAAAAAAAAAAAAAAAAAACATATTTAAAATGTGGCATGTGTCGAACTCCACTTTAAAGGTGCAGTGAAGAAAGAAATCCTTCAGATTAAAAGCCTGTCAAGAAGAAATGTCCAATAGAAAAAATAAAATAACAGTATTGTTAATTGTATTGCCCAACATCATCACTTACTTATGTTGTCAGTTTGTTGGTGTTTACTTGACTATTTTATGTAGGCTGTGTTTTACAGTGTCTATGATTATGATTGTTAACATGACATAGCTGTAAACTTTAGGTGAATTTTTATTTAATTTAAAAATAAATAAAAAGTTAAAATTGTTATATTTTCTGTAACAAACTTTTTAATCAATATTTTCTCAAAAATGTACCACTTGTTCAACTGCATTTCAATTTACAACCACACAAAATGTGTGACTTTATGATGAAGAATCACAAATACACAGTGACTTGTTTATATGGTATATGACTTCACATCATTTGACTGTGATGAAACACTCGTGGCTGGTTTGATGTGTTGTTTTCAACCAGTCGACCTCAAGTCCAATCAGAGGGCTCCCTGTGAAACACACACACTCTGTGTCAAGTGATCTGATTGGCTTGACTGCTTTGTGTCACACCTCTGAATCAGTTCCGGCTGTGGAGAAACAGCTGAGTCACACACACACACACACACACACACACACACACACACACACACACACACACACACACACACACACACACACACACAGTGCTCAGGTTTCACAACTCTTGAGACACTTTATGTTTGTTGTGGGAACAAACAGCAGCACTGAGTCTTTCCTCGAATCCAGTGTCACAAAAATGCAAAACACACACAGTCACATGACGTCTATAAACATTTACTAGCATGACCAATGGATTTTTCAAATACCCACCATTAAAGATGATGATCATGCTCTATATTTGTGTTTTCAATGATGCACTTGATAGTAACTTTATTTATTTGAGTGGATTTATTTATGTCAAGATCTAATTTTCCTGCAACCTACACTGTAAAACATCAAACAGGAATTTAGTGGAATCAACCATTTTTTTTCTCATTATCTTGATTAAAAATAAGTCACACACTGTGCGTTAAAATCAATTTTTTAAAGAAACGGCAGTGTAAGAAAAACTGAAAAACACCCCAAATCCAGCAGGTTCTCCAAACAGAATTCAATACTTCAATGCTATGTCGTAGACTTTCACCACATACAAACAGTGACAACAGGGAGAGACACTGTGGTGCAAACAGCTGTCAGCTCGCATTTTGGGTCAGCAGCTAATCTCCCACAAGCCTTTGCCTGAGACTTGCTCTGAGCCTGATGTACAATTACCCACAAGACACCTCTGACAGACAACAGCAGGTGATGACAACACAGTCCCACCCTGCTGGCCAAATGTCAAAGAGAAAGAGAGTAAGAGAGTATGACTGATATTTACAAGAAAAGGACAAGATAAACAAAAGATTTTGAAGAATTTAGGAGATACAGGGTGTTACATTGGCCGAGGGGATAAACCACTTAAACCACAACAGCCGCAGTGTGAATCTGACCAGGGTCCCGTGGTGCCAGTAGCGATCCTAGACTCTGGGGTGGAGCCCATGTTCCCTAAACACCTCACATGCAGACTATGTTAGATAATACAATTTACCGATGTCCCTTAAATGCCTCACATGCAGAGTGTTAGATGATAGAATTTACAGATGTCCCCGAAACGCCTCATGTACAGACTATGTTAGATGATACAATTTACCGATGTCCCCTAAACACCTCACATGCAAACTATGTTAGATAATACAATTTACCGATGTCCCCTAAACACCTCACATGCAGACTTTCTGCATGATCTGCGTGATGTAAATTTAATCTACGACCTCAGCAGATATATACATTATTCCTCAAAATTAAATCAGAAAAAAGCTAAAACCTGCAACAATCTGACTGAAAACAACTGTCTTTTTTCAAGCAGCCGCAGCGTGCGTGCCTGACATTAAATCAGAGTTAATTAAATCATTAATTTAACCTATTTATACCAAGCATCTTTATGTTGAAAAAGCCCTGATACACACTGTCATCAATATGTCTATCAATCTGTTTACCATGCTCTGAACACAGCATCAGTTCTTCATAAAAAGTCACAAGCTTGTAGTTAGAGGAGGGTTACCTCAGGGTGGCTCATGCACAGATGCATAAACTAGGGCAGCAGTTAATGATGACTTTAATTACTGTTGAGTCTAATAATTATTTTCCACGTACAGCTCAAAGTGATATATTTATTTTCTATAAATCTGCTAATCATTTCAAAACTAATGTAAACACTTGTGTATCACATGGCGAGCATCTGATTTGTCTTGAAACTGAGAGGTGACGTGGTTCAGTCTCAGAGAGTTATTAGCAGTGGGATTAGATTAGACGGTCATGTGTGACCGATCAGCTCTGCAGGGCTGCAGTCCAGACTCAGGATGAGACCCTGCACTCTCAGACAGGATGCTGTCCTGTATGTTCAACACATTTTCTGGTGTGGAAACTTCATGGTATATCAGACAGGCATGATTCAAATTTAAGAGAAAGAGTTTTAGAAATATTTCTCAGAGCTGGAGTCGATCTGAAGGCAAAATAATCTCACTGTTTTTATAAACCATGAGTGGGCAGGGTCACAGAGAAACAGTCTCACTCACTTTTAGAGTAACGAAGCAGAACAGAGAGTTTTTTTTTTTCATTTGCATCTGCTTTGCTTCTGAAAATCTGTGGTTTTTTTCCAGTTTTTTAGAGGAAAATGGCTCTAAAATACGACCTCAGCAGGTGTTGCAACATGCAGAAAGTTTTATTATTAAAGTTATGTAAACACTGTATCCCAGGTTGACCCAGAATCTGAAGATGAAGTGATTTAAACCGAGTGATCGCTACCTTGGAAGTTGTATATCATGTACATTTCAGTTTTCAGCAACAATCCAGATATTTTTCCAACATCTCGACAGAGAGAGTTTCATTTCCATCCAGGTCTTGAAAGCTCCAGCTGTCAGTCGTACAACAGTGTCAGTGAGTGTGTTTACATGGACATGAGTGTCCCGGTTATGAATGGGTTTTTTATTCCTCAACCCCACGACAGTCAGAGTCGGAGGCATGTTGTTTTCAGGTTGTTCGTCCGTCCGTCCCATTGTCGTGGACACGATATCTCTGTAACGCCTTGACAGAACTTCTTCAAAAATGGCACAAACGTTCACTTGGACTCAAGAATGAACCGATAAGATTTTGGTGTTCAATAGTCAAAGGCTTAGGTCAGTGTGACTACACAAAACACTTTTTAGCCATTACTCAAGACTTCACACAGCAATTATGACAAAAGTTCACACAGATGGTTCATATTTTCTATGACTCTGGATAAACAGAGATGTAACCTGAAATTAGTTTGAGTGACGGAGGCAGACAACCACGAGGACCTGGATTAGCCCTTATCCTGGTTTACACTCTGATTACACATTGTATAGATCTTATCCAGGTTTCTGAATGCTGCTGACTGTCTGTGCAGCTTCAGCTTCAGACAAGTGATGTAACAGAAAGCATCTCACTTATGGAGCAATGAACAGGATCGTGTCTTTCATTAATCAAACTATATATTTGGTCATTTATTTACAATGGCAGAAAGCATCCAAATGCTGACCCATTCAGATCTGTAGTAGACAGATACAGGGCCACACTTTAACAACACGCTCAGTGGAACAAGTCAGGTCATGGTGGCAAATACTAAAGAAACATTACTACATGTGTAATGATAAACGCGATATTATAAACTGCTATATGTCAAAGTGGTTTAACAGTTACAGCACTGTCAGATTAACCACTCAAAACAGCTCCAAAGTGGTTTAACATCACAGGCGGCTGCAGTAATCAGCGACCAGGATACTGGTGTTTGTCATGTATACAGGGATAAGCCTCAAAGCCTCATCCGTGAAAACACACTCTGGCAGAAAGTGAATACGATTTTTTACTTTTTTATATATATTTCCTTCCTCTTGACTTCTCCACTAATGTCAACTATATGAAAAACTAATATTTTGAAGCCTTGTTCTCTGCAAAGACTGAGCTGAGCTTCTCCTTACACCGAATTAGCTGGTAAATCAACCTGAGCACTGAAAAACAGCAGAGTTCTAACTCAGCTAACGAGAAGATTCCTGCGTTCAGAGCAGCTCAGTCATGGTTTCTGAGCTACGATTCTAATCTGCAGTCGCTGCCCAACACCAAACACACCCATCAACACACATTCAGGGTCCTACCTTGCAGTCATGCTGCGCCACAAGTGAGCTCCTGTGGAAAAGAAGAAATCTATTATTCATCATCACTGAGTAGGTCTCATCATAATAAGACTTTTTTCGGGTCACATTTCTGTCTATTTCCCCAAATTGTAATTGTAATTATACTTTTCATTCTAACAGTGTGCTTCAGTTTCACTGGCTCAAACACCCTCTTACTTTAACCCTCCCTATTTAGTATTTATCAGCAATATACAAACATTTGAAAAGGTGGTCAACCATAAGTGGAGGCTGCTGTATAAACATATAATGAATGACAAGATATTAAAGCTCCATATTTTCCTCTTCTCCTGTGTTTTATTTGAAGTGTTGATCCATAAGAAGATATATTTGTGGTTTTAAGAACCAAAAACCATCTCAGTGTAGTTTTACATCTCCTCTCTCAGGCTTCTCTCTGGAGCTCTAGTAACAACAGGTCACTGTTTTCTAAGTGATCTAATTAAAATATAGCAGATTTCAGGTAAACACTCAGAGAAACCAAATCCTGCAAGGTCGGATGGTGGGTCCAGGTGGGGCATGGCTGAGTGTGGTGACATCACAAAGTTACAGGAAGTCCTGACGGCTGGTTTTAAGGCTCAGTTTCTGAATACAGGCTGTGTGCATTTCTCTGTGGACTGAGGCTTTGATACTTTCACAGTATTAATATAGAACCTAGACCTGCTTTATAATCAAACAACACATGGACATCCACCTTTATAATATATGGGACCTTTAAATATTCATATAACGCTTATAGGATGACAACAGGATGGTTACAATTTTGTGTATGAGGGTATCGTCATGCTGAAACAGGACAGGGACAAACACAAAGTCTAGACACAAAGTTAGAAGCACACTGTTATCATTTTGTACTTCATGGTACAGTGGTTGAGATTGTTGACCAGAGATATCAGGCTAAAAGGACAAAATGGGGGATGCAGCAGAGTAAAGCGCCTCATTCTGAGATGCTGTAGATTACAGCTGGATGCAAACCATGCCTGCGAAGCTACTGTATCTGATCTGCTCATCTCTGAGAGCCCTGAAGTTTCCCTCTGCGCCACCTTGCTCTGTAATTTTGAGACACTGACACAAAAATGTGACTCCTTACTGTTAATGTCTGAGGTCACTCATGCGTTTCCTGCTACTCAACTTAACTGGAAGAACTGGAAACATCTGGATGTGGTATTATATAGTATCAGGGCAGAGGAAAAACAAAAATATGCAAAAAATGGGACTAGAAATAAAAACAATGATTTGCTTCCATGGCAGCATTACCGTCAGCCAATAATAAGAGTACAAGGGACAGAGCCACAGTGCTCCTTCCAAAGAGGTGGTGACTAAGTCAAACACTAAAATACATTTCCTGGATGACAGAAAATTAAAGTGATAAATTGCATCCATGTTTTGATTTTGCTTATTCAAAAAAAAAAAATCACTAACATTAAGAATACACACATCTCAAGAAGCGTGCATCAGGCTGATGAGTAACCATCTCCTGTAAGCATGAAGGAAAAGACGCGTCCTTCCTGACTCATCAGGCTAACGAGTCACCACCAGGGTGAAATCATCTAGAAATCTTTAGCTGGACTCACATCCAGCAGCTCAGATAAAAGCCTCAGCTGCTGCCGACGATTAGAGATTATTTTCATAACGAATCGATATTTTCTCAATGAATCAATGGATCACATCATCGAAGACAGCATTTTGATCCCAGTCGGGTCTTCGTCAGGGCTTATAAACGGATACACACCTGTATGCTGACGGGCTCTATGATGGCAGGTCTCAAAGAGTAGCAGTACAAAGGCAATGCATCCAAATACCAACAATACATAACAAAACAGAGCTGTGCTGATTCTCTTCCTGTCAATCAACAAATCAATCAACTAATCATTTCAGCTCTAATTCAATTTCTATGATATTTCAAATATTTGATATGATTTGACATAATTTTGATGTGATTACACTGCCAGAAATAGATAATGTTGCAACAAGTGTTTTTCCACCGCTGGAGACAGCTGAGGGCGAGTAAAGAGATGCGGTTTGATGCCCAGCTGCAACTTTTCTTTTAGACTGGTGAGTAACATCTAATGTTGGTCTGCAGCGAAAAGGATCATTAGTGCAAATGACAAACCGCACTGATAAACACTTCAAGTGGCATAAATGTATGATTGATGATGTCGACAGAAGTTTTAGTGATTAGGTAGAATTCAGTCTGTTCCTGCGGCTGTTGTCCAGCTACATGCGTCAGTTACTTTTTTTACAAGTAAAACAAAGAGAGCGGGTTCAGGATCCACTGCCTAATACTGTATTTATTTTAGCATATTCATATCTATCCTTACTATTTATTATACACACACAACAGGCCTAACATGTTTGAATATAAAGAACTTGTATGATCTAAACTAAATGTCCTATCACATGTTTGTCTGTATCAGGACCAGAATTCCAGTCCAGTCCTCCCCAGCGATGGACCAGCACCTGCCTTTTCTTCTGCGTCTGGCCTCATCAATCAACAACCACATTACAGTAACACCTTGCAGTATTACTCCTGCACAGAACACATATTGTCTATACTGTGATCTTTTGCACATCCTGCTCAGCAGGAGTTTTGTCAACACTTTTGTACAGTTTTTTCCATTGTTTTATTTTTTAATGTGTATCTGTGTGTATTTATCTTTTTGACTGTTGCAGTATTTTACCTTTTTATTGTTATTTCCTGTTAATATGTTTATTGGACACTGCACCAAACACCAAGCCAAATATCTTGTCAATAAACCTTATTTTCTGATTGTGCCTTTGTGATGATGTCATCATCCCTTCCTCATGCTGCTGTAGCCTGACACCCATGTGTCATGCAATATCCCCTTGCCTTCTAAATAAAAACAGACTGTTTGTATTACAAGTACTCATAATTTGTTTCAGTGCTATCAACAATCTTAACTATCAACAACAAATGCACACATAAATAATAAATTATAAGGAACATGGGGAAAACAACAACATGATTAACTGGACAGGGGTGAAGAGTTGAATTGCTGCCCCCCATGGAGGTGGATCAAGTAGCACGATCTTACACATTACACCTTTAACTGCTTAGACAGACAATCTATGGGGTCTTTTTTTTCTAATATTGTGACACTGTGAGTGGATATAAAAGGTCTTCTTGTGTCACCTGTGTATCTGAATCGAGCAACATCTCTGACTGTCACCGTGACGACCAGCACAGCCAGTATGATGGCCAGGAGGCTGTAGGCTCGGAAAGGGCTGAAGGCCACAAACCTAGAGAAAAACAAAACAATAAGTTAACATAACAAAAATAAATGAAAATAAATGTAATTTGTATTTCTCCACCTGACGTATGTACAAGCATTTGAGGCGCTATATAAAACAGCTACTTGTAATAATAATAAATGATAATACATTTTATCTATAGGTGCCTTTCAAGGCGCTCAAGGACACCTTATGACACACAATAAAAGATAAAATGCAAATACAAGGCATAAAATACAAAATAAATTAGAATATATATAATATTCATTAAACTGTCAAATGAACGTGTAAAATAAAAACCAGGGGGGAAAACAAGTTTAGCAAGTACTTCCTTGCTAAGCTTGTAACAATATCAAAACATCAGCGACAAAACATTACACCTAGATAATATCAGAAATATAACTTTATCAGCTGATTAAATAAAAATGAACAAAGAAAAGTCACATTTTACTGTTTGTGTTTGTGTATTTTAGAGTCTGGACTCATTAGGGAGACTTATATTAGTAGATATTAGTGTTATAGTACATAAGAAACTATAGGTTTCATTAGAAAAAAGACAAATAGGATCAGTGCAAACTGACAAAATGCCTAATTTTTCAATAACATAGAAATATGAAGTACAAAAGAACCAAATACTCAGTAATAAAGATGAATAATATAAATGGTATGGCCTTAATAATCGTATATATTATAGGATTATTAAAGGAGTAGTAAAGATTTAGAAGGTGAAATGATTATGAACTCATCTGAAGTCATAGCAATGTTAGGTTATTATGTTTGTTTGATTTTACTGAGGTTTGGGTCCAAATTAAGATCATAATTATTTTCCCTTTAATTAACAGGAGCTCCGTGTTCTCAGAATGGGTGTCTGGCTGATATCCCTGCGTCATGATGCCTACCAGAACACGGTGTTGGCTGCAGCAAACAGGGCTGAAGTCCTGCACGGTCTCTGCTTCCAGTTGACCAGGCCGGTGAGACGACACCCTGCGCGCCCGGGCAGAGGCGTCTCCTCCTCGCTCTGCGCCTGGCTCGGCGGACCCGGCGGCCCTGCAGCCGCCTCCCCGCCGCCCGCGGTTCCTACTTCCCGGCTCACCAGCATTGGAAAACGACCGGGGCCCCTCCGCTCTACCGCTCCGCTCCTCCAGCAGAGATCGGTGTCAAGTTAACCGGAGAGTTTACGATCGTATTTCCGATTTTAGGTTTTCAAAATAAAAGTCACAACGAGAACTGTGATTTATTGGGCTACTTGCTAGCTACTTGCTAAGTTAGTGGTTTAAACATAATACCTCTAACATTCAAGTAAAAGTACAAATGTATAGCATTCGCAATATACTTTATAATTACCATATTGGATCATTTTCCCTTCTTTAAGCCTTTAATGAAGCTATTCACAATATGTGGAGATTTTTTTTAAACCAGTGACAACTAAAAGATATTTAACCTGTGAAAAGGGGACAAACATGACATCACTTCATTTTAAGGGAACACAAGTCACAGAGGTTGGGAACCAGTTCCCAGTAGAGATCAATAAAAGTTAAAATAAGATCATCTAAGATAAGATGTAGCTTACCTTTATTGATCCCCCGTAGAGGAAATTCAAATTGACACAGCAGCACAAAAGAACAGCAGCACAAGGGGAAAATGTAATCAAGAAATAAAATAAGAATAGAAACAGAATCTAAAATAAATAAGATAAATTAGAAATACAAGTTCAATCTGAATAAAATCATTTGTATTACCTTAAAGAAATATATCATTGTAAAGACAGTAAACATGTGATGTGTTGTTAGTCCAAAACTATAGGCTATATATATTTTCATAAATTAGTTGATGCAGGCCTGAGGTAAAAAAAAAAAAAAAAATTCATGACTATAGTCACAGCTTTTGGTCCTTAACGTTTGGCAGTGACTAATTATTCTGGTGAGAATTTTGTTTTGTATTAAAGTTAGATTGTTTCATTGTTACCAGTTGATGCACCTGTAAGGAAAGCCTATAACATAGTAACTGCTGGAATTCCATTGAATTTCATTTTTGTATTTTATTTATTTATTTTATGTCTTTACTGTGAAAGACAAAATCGCTCCACTTCCTATCATTTTCAGTCTACTTCTGTCTGACCTGACGCAGCTCCACACCTCAGCTGCTGCTTGTTGTGTTGTGGTTTAAATCATTGACGTCAGGTGGGTGTGTGTGTGTGTGTGTGTGTGTGTGTGTGTGTGTGTGTGTGTGTGTGTGTGTGCATGTGTGTCTGTGTTGTAGATTTAGTCTGACATCAGTTGTTTGTGTTAAACTGTTATCATGGTAAATAGACTACTATGGCTTTTCTAGTCTTACAGGCCACTCAAAGCACTTTACAGTACATGCCACATTCACCCATTCACACACATACACATATATACAACACACCCATACATCACACACACTCATACACCGATGGAACAGCCATCAAGGGTAATTTGGGGTTCAGTGTCTTGCCCATGAAAACTTGGACATGTGGACTGGAGGAGCCGAGGATCGAACCACCGACATTCTCCACTGCAGCTCTGTGGAGCTTTTTCCATGAACACTAATATGACACCGTAAACTTAAAAAGGTGATGTCGCTCTGGTCTTAGTGGATACTGTAAACAGGCAACTGCTTAACATGTTTGCAGCAACAACTTCATGAGCACATCAGCAAATCAGAGGTGTTTTTCTGCCCTCTAGGGGTCAAAATCCCTTTCTGCAGCTTTAAACAGGATTCCTAAATGTGATTGGACTTGAGCACTGATGACTCGGACTTGGACTCAAGCATTGATTGGGAGGTTGGAGATAAAGACTCTGACTATTTTGTTAGTGTATTTGTAATAATTTGGCATAAGATATTGATATATTAATACTGTAACATTATTCAGTGATGAAATGGTGAAAGCTGTGTCATTTGTGTTAAATGTAGACCTTTATTAATGTATAGCACAGGAGCCCATCCTGGAACTTGACTCGGACTCTTTTTTTGTGACTTGGACTAGAGCATTGGGGACTTGAGACTCGACTCGGACTTGAGGGTTAGTGACTCAACTACAACACTGATAACAACGATACAAATTCAGTTAGTTGCATTGTCCAATAAAACCTTGACCACAGGGGGTCAGTACAACTTCAGATATACAAATATGATTAATCTCTAATGAACAAAGAAAACTTCTGTCTGTCTATAGCAAGTATTAACTTATAAACTCCACAACTATATCAAATTCTCACCGTGAAACATAAACTTTGAGATCGTTGAATAAGACTGCTGTGATTTGTAACAGGCAATAGTCAGTATTTTTGACATTTTATGGACTAAACACTCAAAAAAAGCAGCTGGAGGAATGCAGCCTGTGTGACAGACTGCAGACTGGGCCTCTTGCCACGCGTGGTGGAGTCAGAACGCAACCGTCTTGTGGAGGGACAGGGAAAGTCAGACCTACAAAGAGATGATGACCCATTTTGCGCTGCATGCCGCTCGCGCTGTTCTGGACCTGAATCAAGATCAGAGCTCAGTGCCAGACCGTGATCTCCAACAATGACCTGCTCCACTTTCCACTGCTGGGGCCGCTCCTTCACTCCACACTCGCCACCAATTCTGACACATATTCACATCCACAGGCTCAATGCAGCTTAATAGCTGTTTTTGAAAGGTAAGAAAGTTTTCTGTAGACATTTACTCACTGTAGCTACAGCTGGAATATTAACCTTAACCAAAATAGATGACCCTAGAGCTCCAGAGAGACGCCTGAGAGAGGAGATGTAAAACTACACTGAGATGGTTTTTGGTTCTTAAAACCACAAATATATCTTCTTATCCATCAATACTTTAAATAAAACACAGGAAAATATAAAATATGGAGCTTTAAAAGCCCAGTCAATATTTCTTTTGATAGACAATAACTGACTTGCAACAAGCTGTGAAAACAACATGGACATATCATCACTTCTTAAGTAGTGGAGAAGCAACGTGATCATTTGGAGTCCTGTGATCCACCACATGCATATTGATATATGAGCAGGTAGTGGACAGTGACTTTTTACAGCTGTTTCTCTGAAAACATCTGCCTGCTGCCTCCAAAAAAGGGGAGTTCCAGGTTCAGCTGTGAAGGTTCATCACTGTGAGTGATCCCTTACACATTATCATTTGATATATTGTTATCATAAAACTATTGATTATAGCTGCTTTAAGTATTTCTAATTTGATTATTAATAGACATAATTAAAAAGTCTGAATCTTATAGATACACTGCAAGTTTTTTTGGTGTGATTTTTGATGTTGGGCTGATGATTTGATGATCTTTTAATTTAAACTTAAAAATCATGTATGTAAAATATAAACGTAAGCATATGGGCAGGGGGGTCGTAAATTGATTTAGCTGCAAATATTTGTCATATGAAGACAAATAACAGGGTGACATGAAACACTGCACAGAGAAGACATTCACACACACACACACACACACACACACACACACACACACACACACACACACTGTCAAACTCAATTCATAGGTTTTCAAGCGTGCAATGCAAACAGTCAATACACACACAAATGTACAAAAACTAATTTACTGCGAGCACTTGTACACACAGCATGAACAAGTTTGCATACTTTGACAAACACACACACACACATGTGCACGCACACATGCACGTGCATGCGCGCACACACACACACACACACACATACACACACACACACACACACACACACACACACACACACACACACACACACACTAAACAAAGTCTTCCAGATACACACTCATTCATGATTTCTTGAACACACACACCCACACACCATAAACACAGCACCGTAGATATTAAAGACATTGTGTGTGTGTGTGTGTGTGTGTGTGTGTGTGTGTATGTGTGTTTGTGTGTTTGTGTGTTTGTGTGTGTGTGTCAGCCACTAATTGGACTGAATTTCACTGAGCAACAAAAGATCAGGCTCGAAAATTCCAGCTCTGGTTTGTACAGGCTCTGCTTTGTTTTCCCTTCGCCTCTGTTTGTTCTCTTCTAATGCTGTGTTAACAGTTATCTCTCTCCCTTTCTCACCCCCCCTTATCCCTCCCCCTCCCCACCTCTTTCTCTCTCTGTCTCTCTGTGTCTTTCTTTCAATCTCTCTCACTTTCTCTCTTTTTTCGTGCGGCCCATGAAAGGCTTTCTGCCCCAAACGAAGCTCAGTTACCCCAACTGCTCAGAGGCAGGCGAACCCCAGAGGCCAGAGCTTGCGAGGTGCTTTCCGCATTAACTCACAAATCTCTCTCTCACACACACACACGCACACTCGAAAACACACACACACACACACCCACTGCAGGAGCCTGTTGGACAACCACAATGAACCCCAGACTTTCAGTGGAGTGGACCATAATCAACGTCTCCATCTATGGGAAACTTGCCACGTCCCTCGGAGCTGAGCCTGGACCTGAGCTTTTGGTTGGATTTTTCTGATGTTCTTGTGGCAGGAGAAAACTCAGGGATAAGATGATGATTGAGCTGCAAAGCCCCGAGGATGGTGGCGGTGATGGTGGTGGCTGTGGCCACGTGGACATACTGAGCACTGAGGAGCTGGAGTGTAAGATCTGCTACTGTGCGTACAACCTCGGGAGTCGCAGGCCAAAGTTGCTCGAGTGCTGCCACCGTCTGTGCGCCAAATGCCTCGCTAAGATCCTGGACCTGGGTGAGTCGCCTCCCAACGCCGTGGTGTGCCCGTTCTGCCGCTACATCACCAGACTGCCAGGGGAGGCGGTGAGCAGTCTGCCGGATGACTGCAATTTGGTGGCGGCGCTGGCCCTCCAAAGCCGGAATCAGAGGAACCTCCACTTCCACCAGGATGCGACCACGGAGCTACTCCTCAGCCCCAGGCGCCTGACCTCGCTGATGGGTAGTAACGCACCTGTGATGTCCCCTTCCCCTTCCTCCTCCACTTCCTCAGCCACTACCTACTCCTCCATCCGGGGCTCCCCTAACTTTGTGGTCATCACCATCATGGAGCCTCCACCGGCGCCCGCATCAAACCAGGACCTTTACCACCAGCCACGTGGACCTCACGCCTCAAACCGGGGCTACCACTCCTCCAGTCTGGATTCCATGGCGTCCATCACGCAGAGGTGGACGGTGTGGAACTGTGCAGCCCTCCTGTGCCAGACGTCGGCCCGGGCGCTGGTGTGGGTGCTCGGGCTTCTGTACTTCAGCTCTCTGCCCATGGGGGTTTACCTGCTCATCATGCAGAGGACAACGCTCGGGGTGCTGCTGGTGAGCCTGGTTCCCGCCAGCCTCGTCATGATCATGGTCTACGGATTCTGCCAGTGTATCTGCCATGAATTCTGGGACTGCATGCCACCATAATGGGAGCAGATGAATGGGCAACGCTTTGCTTTGAATATGCTTGACAATAGATGTCCAGAATTCACTAATGGGGATGTTACTGTGTAACTGATTATGTGAATGTTTACTTCAGTGGCAGAAAAATGATCCTTTTCTTGACTGGAGAAGAACATTATGTACATTACAAATGGAGCTCACAGTTTGGGGCTTTTTATTGTTATACACGTTAATTTGAGCATTTTTTTTTTTTTTTAGCTTGATAGCCAACTAATTATCTAGTAGAGCTCAGACAGATTTAGCTATAACTTTCACGCCATTTCTGGAGGAAATCTGCTAAATATTATACATAATACTGTTGTAGTGAGAAACCTGAAGGAATTAATAACTGTCTCTGACACCCGTGGATCTAATTTGTTATCTAACAGTGGTTCTAAGCCTTTTTAGGCTGTGTCAAACCCATAAATGCATCTAATGTGAACTTTATCATCAAGAGTCCTGAGAGTTCTTCAACTTAGCATGAGCAAAAGTGTGTTGTCGTGTGTGAAAAAACACTTTCTATGCACCAAGAAGAGAGGTCAGTGTGTTTTCTCACCATGAAAGAATCAAATATAAAACAGGATATGCAGTAGTTTGATCCTGAAATAAACAGGTTAAAATACCAGTGAATGTAGACGCTCCAGAGCATTCCTTTCTTATATGTTTAATGTCATGCAGGATATTTGTCAGCTTTCAGAATTTGGGTTCTTTTTTGAGAAGGGAATCTTAATATACCAGACACTGCCACAGTGGTTCTAGAATAAGACCATTCACACAGAGACCCTGGTTCGACCCCTGGCAGCTGGAGTGCGAAGGTGGAAAGCCAATGAGGGATTACACCTCAGTCGCTACAGGAGTTATTCCTTGGAGAGAAAAAATTTGTTTTTTTATGAATAAGTGAGTGACAGCTATAAGAAGCTTGGCATCGTCATCATTTTTGGATTACTCTGAAAACCACTGCAAACATAAAACCTACTGGATTCAGCTTATGATGGTTATTCACTTTGGGGGTGCCGTTAACGGATAGATGCTCAATTTTTCAACTCTATCTTAAAACAATAGTTAGGTGCTCAAATTATCCTTTTCTGTGCTTCTAATCTACGTGTGGGGGAATAAACCCACAGTCTGTGTTCCATTCCTAAGTTTATCTTAAGTTAATTTGAGGTTTCAGAGTTAATCAGCTCAAGTTGTTATCTTCCAAAACATCTTTTTGCTACGAGTACCTTCTTTGTGTTACTATCCCTCTTGTGCGGCTCGGTAAGGGGAAACACAAAGAATGAATTCTGCACTAAAAAGACTGTACATTTGGAAGATCCCACTTGATTTGAGTAACTCAGAGTGCTGAAGCCATATTTTAGCTCCAGATAAACTTTGGAATATTTTTTTGCAGAACGAGCGATAGATTTCGTTCCCCATTGCTTTCACTGGAAGCCTGTTAGGAAGGGATATTTTAATGGGCAGTATGGACAGGTTGATTGATTCATATTCTGACTGGTTGGTTTGTAGACGTATTCTGATTGGTTGATTTGTAGCTCTATTCTAATTGCGTGGTTTGTAGCTGTATTCTGATTGGTTGAATTGTAGCTCTATTCTGATTGGTTGGTGGATTTGTATCATACTTGATAAGGATCTTATTTGATGAAACTGATCCTCATAAACCTGGCACATAATGATCTTTATTGGAAACACATATTGATTATATTAATGTATTTATCAATAACTAGTCCTCCTGTGGACACCCATAGATAGAAGTTGCTGTATAAACAGATAATGTATGACAAATAGGAGTTGCTACCTTGCTAGTGGCTAATGAGGATCCAAATAAGTAAATAAACAACATAATAAAACACAGCTTTTATAATATAAACTATGTCTTTGTTGTAATTGTTAAATATATTAACACTTAAAATGTCCTTAAAGCTGCTTACAACTACATTATAATGTGTCAGAAATCATTTATTTTACAGTCTAAATACTAATTATAAATATTAAATAGGGGGGCTTAAAGTAAAGTGTTACAGTGTTGATTTTTATTATTAACACTGTAACACTGTACATTTTATATTTTTTTTTATTCATGAAATTATAAAAACATTGTCTTATATAATAAAACAGATGAAAACGAATTGATGATAAACTAAATAAAAAGACAATTCAAGTAAATTAAAAACTCACATATAATCAGGATATGCTCTCCAGTGGGTCTTTTTCACAGAAGACATTTGAACACGTCTCAGTGGGGAAAGCACAGGTGTAAATAATGAGATTAATTACTGGGAGTCTTGAATAGAGCAGAGCCATCGTTAATGTTATCAGGAACACCTGGGCCTTTTCTACTGTGACAAGTCAAATTGCCTGCTGTGAAAAAGGCCTATAAAAGAATTATTTAAAAGATAACACTAACTCAGCCAGCCTTATTTCCTTGGAGCCTCAGGGCCAAATGATGTTTATTATTATTAACAATATTATTATCGAGTCTTTAGCTCTGCCTGAGAATCCCAAACTACATGTGCAGGGTCATAAATTTAGCGAGGCTCCAAAGACAATATGAAATAATCAGTATGCTCTTTAAATCTATTAATTCTAAAGCATACCTTTAGTGAGCGTTAGGAAACTAAGACAGGTGGGATTTGGTGACGCCTCTTGGTTGTAGTTGAAAGCCTGGCAGTTAAATTACTTCTAATCAACAGTTATTCGAAACTGTATGAAAATGAAGATGAGTGAAAGTAGCAGGAGACTGTTAATCTGTATGATTGATTGATTAAGGCAGATCCTCTATTACTACTCATACCTCATTCTATGTGGTGAGGTTGAGCTTGAACCACCAGAGGGTGCTGTGACAGCTCTGCCCTTACCTCCCCCTTCATGCACTTGAACAGTTTATATTCTGTACTTTCATTCAGTTTGTCGGTGTGTATAGTACGAGGGTGGAAAACATCAGATGAGACTCATAGTAAGTGATGATCCTCCTCTGCTTCACAGTTGTAAGCAGGGCAGATGATATTATTAGATTGTTGATACAGATGCATCAGTATGGATTTTTTCATGCAGCTGCTTGAGATGGAGTTAGTTCTAAAGCTCCATATTTTCTTCTTCTCCTGTGTTTTATTTGAAGTGTTGATCCATTAGAAGATATATTTGTGGTTTTTAGAACTAAAAACCATCTCAGTGTAGTTTTACATCTCCTCTCTCAGGCTTCTCTCTGGAGCTCTAGTAACAACAGGTCAGTGAGCCAATCAGAACAGAGGAGGCTCTGAGCATTTCTTCTGATTGGCTGCCTGTTTTCTGAGTGATCCAATAAAAATATAGCAGATTTCAGGTAAATACTCAGAGAAACCAAATCCTGCAAGAATAGGTTAGTGGGTCCAGGTGGGTGGGGCTTGGGGCATTGGGCGTGGCTGAGAGCGGTGACTGCTTTGTTGTGACATCACAAAGTTCCAGAAGTCCTGACGGCTGGTTTTAAGGCTCAGTTTCTGAATACAGGCTGTGTGCATTTCTCTGTGGACTGAGGCTTTGACACTTTCACAGTATTAATATAGAAGCTAGACCTGCTTTATAATCAAACCACACATGGACATGGTTGTGAGATGATTAATTAGGTAGGAAAGAAGATAAAACTAACTTCTGCAACATGGATCTGTATTCTTTTTATTTTTCACTTTTCTCTCATCTTTGCCTTTTTGCGTAATTTTAGTTAATTTTTTCACTTTGAACTTCAAACAATTACTTCAAATAAACCATCTGAGAAGTTTGCAGAGTGACAAACAGTTTGTTGTACCTATGTAGTGAAGTAAACACTAAAATATTTCCCTGTGGAATGTATAGTAGAGGAACAAAGTTGCATAAAATAAAAAGTACAGTACTTCAGTAAATGTTCTTTCTACCATAGGTTTTGAATACAGAACCGTCACTTGTACCGCAGTGATATTATCATCTTCAATGTTACTACCATCACTGTCATGGCGCTGGTAAACTCTTCCTGACCAGTTGTCCAAGCAGGGTATAAAACAAACACTGAGGATCTGTTTCCAGTACAGTTTGTCCTCGCTCTGCTTCTGCAACACACGTCCTGCTGATGATAAACAGTCCAGGCCTTCAACCATTTCTGTTTTACGGGGGGACTCTGAATCTGAATCTGAATCTGAGCAAGTGCTTCCCTACAGGGAGCGTAACATCATTTCAGATTCCTTTTTAGTGAAGCAATGAACATTCCCACATGTTGGTGTGAGGGACGTTCACAGACTGTGCAAGCCAAACTAAAAAAAATAAAAAATACACCAACTCCCCTCAGCCTGGAGTCTACCTCATATCTCTGATCAGAGCCGCTGGAAACAAAAACAACACAACAAAATGTGACACTTTGAAGGACTGCTGTTATTTTAGTTCGTTCACTGGCAATCATGAATAATACATTACAACCAACCACTTGTCAACATGCTTTAGTGTTTTAGATATTTGTTTTTACAGGATGTTTGGCTGTGTGTTACATATAATACCAAGCAGCTAAATTATTTGTTTCCTATAATTTCACTATGAAATGTTATCAACTAGCAGGGCTGGACAACTACCTCAGGTAGCCAGACCCTCAGGAGCCCCAAAGGCTCGAAATTCACTGTGTTAATTAGTTATTGATAATTTGATCAGCTGCAAGTTCCAAGTGGTATTAATGTTGGTGTCGCTATTGCAAAGAAGCATATAGTAAATTTCACCAGTGCTCACATAAGAAAGGTCACCGCCAGGAAATGGTGTTCTTTGTTTAGATCATCAAACACACAATGAATTGTTTGTTTCTGGCTGCTAGCGGAATTGTTAGCGAGATGGCTACTGCTATCGGCCTGGCTACTGATCTAGTAGAAATGAAAGTGAATGTTGGTATTGAAACCTCTTAAGTCTCTGAGCTCTCTCCAAACTTAGGGACTGCCGTTACAGCTGCATTGGCGTGCCAGAGGACAGTAAAAATAAAAAAAAGTGCTGAATTTCTGTTCTAGATCAACCATGGTTCTCTCCATCAGGTAAATGCCCATCCGAGGTTAGCTCTTGTTTTACCTTGGTTGCTATCACTCTTTGTATTTGCCTTTACTACTCGGGGAAAGCTACCAATAATTACCAGGGAAAACAAAAGCAATATCCTCTTTCTGTTTTGCTTGCGCAGTGGCAGGCACACTTTCTTGGTGCTGTAAATCAGGCCTTTATTTTTCCATGAAATTTCATTCCTGGTGTGAAGAACTGCATAATGAGAGCAAGGAGTATACGGAACCAATCTAAAGGCCAGTGGTGTCATTATTCCTTAGCTATTACACTGTGTAATCAACATTTACTTCATAATAAAACAAAAGAGTTGCCTATTGTCCATTTAAGATGGCTTTTTTTTAAATCCCTGCAACCATATCTTGCAGATATTACATTTATACACAACCAATTTGCAACAGAAAATACATTTGAAGGAACCTGGATTATTGTTTTTTTTATCAACATAATAAGGATGTTTTGTTAATCACTATATCTGCTAAGTCACAAAATGTTGACACTGAATGTATCTGCATAGTGTTTCTAGGCAGCAATTACCCCATGCACAAAAGCAACATTTCTAGGCAAATGATTTTGTTGTTTTGTGAAGGACTCTGTCTCAAAATCCAGTCTGCTGTTTTAATTTCAGTTTATATTATGCTGAAAAACTGGATATTCTTGGATACATCTGTGTTTAATCAAATAGTTTCTGCAACTGTGACAAATCTGAAATGACATTTATATATTACTATTATGTCTGCTATGATTATGTTTTTTTCATGGAACGAAGTGCTACATTCTTCCACCTCATTTCAGCTAAGTGTTAATAAAAGACAACACAGATTTATAACCAAGACCATTATCTTTCTCTGACCCTGTAACTAAGTGCTACAAGTTGTCTAAACACAACCATAAAAAATGTTAATCATGCTTCAGCTGCTACGAGTAGACACTGTAGCGAAAAGAAATAAAATACAGCACATGAACATTTTCCAGCTATATGTTCAGTATGCGACTCAGAGGATATGTTCATAAAGAATGTTTCCGCGTTATCTTTCTCTCAAAACATATTTTCTGTTGCACATCAGTTGCATATGAACAAAGAATTTCTAGGGGATAAGGTTGGTCTCTGAGGCTCTTGGCAAAATCTAAGCTGCCATGCGTGGCCTGTTGTGTGCACTGTACCTGATAGGTACCTAAAGGGGAGCTGTGTCGATTTTACACATGAAAGTCTGTTTACAGGTCCTGGAGCATCACTATATATGTTATTATAGGGGCCTGGCGCCAGGTTTGGACAAGGAAGAAGAATGTGTGGAATAAAAAAGACGATATCTCTGGTTTTGCTGCACTGATCTCAATACTTTTTTTTTCAACTGTCCATTGTGAGTCTGACAGTGTTACAGAGGTGCAATGCTAAATTTCTAGAGTACTCTTTTAAAAGGCATCAGGATAAATATACAATACAATCAGAGTGGGAGGAACCAAGAGGTCAACAGAGGCCCACAGCTCCACTTTGCCCTGTGATCCTCCAGCACATTAATCTAAGGCCTGTAAACTGGAAGAGGATGTATTGTTTTTTTTTATCGCTGTCATTGTATCAACATTTTACATAACAAGGTAAACCTCTTTAAGAGAAGTACGTTCCAATTCAAGCTCTATTGATGATGATGATGATGATGATGATGATGATGATAACAGAAAAAGATAAAAGTCTTAACAGTTGATTTAAATGACTGTAAATGGAAAAAAAAATGATCAAATCAGAATAAAATCCCCAGGTGAAACATATCAGATAGACAGATACAGTAAATTAATTGTACACTGAATAAATGGGCACACAGAGAGCAAGAGAGATCTGCTTCGTAAAAATCTAAATCAGAAATTAAGAAAAGGTAACATAATAGATGTACAGGACAAAGTGATGATAAAATAATATTGCTTCAGAAGGAGTGATGAATACAGAATACTGATGTTGATGATGAGTCAGTGACTGTGCCTACCTTGTAAGTCTATTGATGAGTTGTTGCCCTGTCTGCTGCACATCCACTGCTCATTCTGTGAATATACTTCACATTCCCATAGGAAGTGAGTGGAGCCGTTGTCAGCCAATCAGATTCGCGTATAACGCTCCGACAACAAACAAAAGATCGAGGCTAGCCGAGCTCCTCAGACTTAGTCGATCCGTCTAGCCTAACGTTAGTTCCTACTTTGCTCCCAGCAACGACTCGCTCCTCTGTCTTCTACCCACCTTCTTCAGATCCTGTGCGGCAGACCATCTTCTTCTAGTGGCTTTGTGTGAGCTAATGTCAACCTGAGCCATTCCAGCGATCGCTTTGCCTGTGCTGGCCAAGCTAAACGCGTTAGCTAGGTTAGCTACTCGGCTAACCAGCTCTGGCTGCCTCTACGACCAGCGAAGCCAGTTAGCTCAGCCTGCTAGCTAGCTAGCTTTGCTAAACCCCCCACCACCACCACCTCCTCCTCCTTAACAAACTTGACACTGACTGACACAAGTGGCTCTGGCTTGTTGCTGACAAGCCATTTCACTAATACTCGTGTCGTAGCCATGTCTGGACAGTCGTCCGGCTGTGGGTTTCTCATGTCGGTTGTTGTCCACGGAGACGCAGCTCTGAACGAGCAGGAAAAGGAGCTCAACCAGCGACTCCGACGGCTCTATCCAGCCGTTAATGAAAACGAGACTCCGCTTCCTCGGTCCTGGAGCCCGAAGGACAAGTTTAGCTACATCGGGCTCTCTCAGAACAATCTCCGCGTACACTATAAAGGTATGACACAAAGACGTATGCTCATTTTAGCACTTTTATTACCCAAGGCTAACGCCTAGGTTGCTAACGTTAGCTTAGCTTGACGGTTAACGGATCAAAGCCAGCTGCCGTTGTGGCTAAAAACAAAGTGGGCTAGGCTAGCAGCTTCATCAACAACAAGGCAGAGGACATCTTGCAACCCGACCAGCTGGCGAGGTGTATCCACAGCCAAAACTGACCTACTAGCTCGTTAGCTTCCCCGTCTATAGCTCTATGAACTGTCACCATGAATACTTTCACGGCGGACCATCTGTCATGCTGTCTTTTGAATTGTAACAATTTACATGTAATCATTGTCAAACAAAGTACTATCTAAAATAATGTATCTGCTGGTAAGGCTCGTTATGAGTCATATAATCATTCCGTTTAGCGTTAGCCAGAATGGATAGGACTAGACAGCCTCTTGGTAGGCTAATGTAGCATTATTAGGTGATTAAATGACAGGAAATACACAGTGTCAAATATCATGATTAGCTTAAGTTACTTTGAAGGATTGACAAGCTTCCACTGAAGTAGTTATTGAGGACAGTATTGGTATAGATAGTTCTGTGTTGCTGAGGGTTAGATATTAAGTGTCTTGTCTGACATTCAGGTTGGACCATTTGCTTAGCAAAGCTATCAAGAGGGTTTTGGTGCAGGCCTACAAGAAAAGGCTAATGTTTAAAAAAAACAAGGTGTAACTGTGCTTCCTGGGTGTGTTCTACTATTCTGAGTCTGACCGGCTCTCAACACACACTCTTCCTTGTTACAGCTAGAATGCTCTGTATTTGTACTGCAAATTCACCTGGATATCTTACAACAGGTATGCATATGTTGAGTAACTTTAGAATTCACATATTGGAACTTTTACATGAACCACCAGCAGGGAGCAAACACAGATCACCACTTTGAAAGTCACTCTTTTTGAATGCTGTATTTCCACAGCAGAGTCAAGCTGAACATTTAAGTCTGACTGTGATTAACTATGTTTTACTATGTCAAATGTCCCAGTACTTTGGCACACTCTGGATGGGATCTAAATCATGGACATATTAGGTTGAAAATGGAGTAAATTAAACATTCAAGATGGATATGTTACCGTTTATAATTAACATAATCAACACTTAAATGCTTTGTCATCTAAAACCCAATTAACACAATCTTCCACCAGTTATTTTGTTACTTAAACTGAATGTCACTCAAGTTCACATATCACAAGTACCAGAGCTGAAATGAGTAATCTGCAACTATTTGGATAATTGATTCATCGCTTGAGGCAATTTCAACAATTCATTGGTTTCAGGTATAGAAATAAAAATATTTGCTTTTTTTGCCTTCTGTAAAAATAATAATAATGATAAACTGAAAAACTTTGATTTAGAAGTGTTGCTTGGACAAAACCAGACATTTTAACATGTCCTTGGTTGCTTTGGGAAATCACAATGAGGATTTCCCACTATTCCCACTTTTTATAAAACAAACAATTAATAAAAAATAACGGAGAAAAATATCAGTTTAATATAGATAATGATGATAGACATAGAGAATAGCCCCAAGAACTGCAGCAATGCAGTGATAGAAAATAGCGTTATTATTATTATTATTATTATTTGCAATTATGTCATATTTGTCAGATGATGATATAATTAACATATTCATCACAACTGTGTCACATCTTTGAACAGCTAAAGCATGTCAGAAGATTTTATCCCCAAAAGTAGAAATAAGCATGAAAATATTAGATTAAACAACACAGTAATGAGCCTACCTTCATATAGTCGAGTAATAAGTCTATTATTATTATTATTATTTGCAATTATGTCATATTTGTCAGATGATGATATAATTAACATATTCATCACAACTGTGTCACATCTTTGAACAGCTAAAGCATGTCAGAAGATTTTATCCCCAAAAGTAGAAATAAGCATGAAAATATTAGATTAAACAACACAGTAATGAGCCTACCTTCATATAGTCGAGTAATAAGTCAAACCAAAATGAATCACCAGCAATTTAGGTTATTAATTATCATTTAATTATTTTAGTGAGCAAAAAGGGTTAGGGTTGGTTTGTGATTGGCAATTTCCCCTATTTTATGGTATTTTATGGATGAAAATGATTGATTCTATGGTTTAAAAAATGAATCTCAACAAATATTAATTAAAATTTGAAAATTATAATATTCTTGCAACCTGACTTTTGAATACAGGCCCTGTTGGTAATATTATGTTTTTCCCATTTTCAGCACAATAATGGTGTATTCCTCAAGCAACCATTTTGTCACAAGAGTAAATGTAAAATGGAGGTGAAAACTTTTATTTAAGTCCATCTACTCAAGGCCATTTTCCAGATTTGAGTGGCTCTTGGGTAATCTTAAGCAATATCGCCCAGATCGCTAGTTAAACCTGCTCCTTGAAACAGACTTCTGGTGAGATGGTCAAGTCTTAACAACTCTTGACAGGTAACCTGCTATAGTTCATACAACCTATGTAATAAGAAATGCCTTGTCCTACAGCTGAACAATTTGAGAAAAATATCTGATTGTGATTTTGTGGTTTTCTTTTATTTTTTGACCAGTGTTTCACTTGAGATTTAAATTGTGATTATTTCTTCTAGATTAAAGTCAAGCCTTTTATTGTGGTCTACATAGCATTAAAAAAGATAAGTTTATATCTAATGTTATCATAAACATTTCTTGTTTCTAAATGAAAACTAATCAGATAAAATAATGCACTCCTTTGTTGTTGAGAGATCTTTTCCAAACCAACTTCTGAATAAACAGCTTGTTTACGACAGTAAAAACTGTCTGTTTAAGCTCTTTAGCTTTAGCTTTTATAGTAAGAAACTTGACATTACTCAGTATTTCCAAGTATAATCATGACATTTAAAACCTTATTAATAATAGCAACCAAGTTGTTTACTTATTGTAATCACTACAAACTGCAACTTAGTAACATCTGACAATGGAAACATTTGATACCCAACTAATGATGCTGTTGACAGCTCTGCATTGTAGCTTCTTGAGCTTATGTTAGCTTAGCAGCACGAGCTGCTTCACAGCCCAGAACCCAGGAGGTTTCAGATTCAGAGCATTTAAGGTGATAATCTTACAACCACTGACCCATCTTGTGCTCAAGCGTATTCATAAAAATTTCATCTAGTAAAACTGCATTATATATTTTGGGATCACAGAGGCAATTTTCCCTCTTATTTTTTTTTTTTAAACTTAAAAGCAAGTCCCTCTCCACATCCCTGGTAACACCTTGTTTCATGTGGAATATCTGTCAGACCCTATATAAATCATTTGCAGAATGTAAATTAGGCAATTATTGTACTCAAAATACTACTAGTGCACATTTACCTGAACAGATATTTGGATAAGCACTTTTGTCTTCAGGCTGTTTTCTTTCTTTTTAGACCACAATTTAGATTGTACAATATTTATGGTATGGATTCTCTGCAGAAGCGCTACTTCTGTTCTGTTCCAACTTGACAGCAACTTTGACATTATCTCCTCAGTCTAGTATTCTTTCACTGTAGGGAAATAACTGGCAGGTATAGTCAGTGTTCATGGGTTAAAACTTTGACATTGAAAACTACTGGAACGGTATGCTCTCTGCTTGTTGAACACATGGTTTGAGCTGGCTTCATCATTGTCAGGATTTTGTGGTTTAATCTCCTCCACAGCCACTTGTGCTGACAATCTACAAACAGTCCTGCACTGTGCTTTGAATGAAAGTGAATCAAAACTGCTGGTCATCATCAGCCTAAGTAGCTGTAGAAATGTTTTGGCTGTCTTCACATTCTGCATCTCTATCCCTTCATGATAATGGAATGATTTATAATAACCACACCCTTTTGTTCTGGTCTCTGTGTTTTACCCTCACCCTAAGGTCATGGCAAAACCCCTAAAGATGCAGCATCTGTACGGGCCACCCACCCCATCCCAGCTGCCTGCGGGGTCTACTACTTTGAGGTGAAGATCATCAGTAAAGGCCGAGATGGGTAAGCACTTATAACAACAAAGCAAAACGTTTCATTTCAACACTTTAGCTACGTTAGCAGCTTGGCTCAAGGGATGGCAGCATCCTGAAGGTTTCTCCAACACTTTGGTCCAAAGTAAAATATTTCAACAGCTGTTTGATCGATTACTCTGAAGTTTGGATGAATCTCAGTGAGTTTTGTAGAGCCACTGACTTTTCATTATCACCAGCAGCGGGTGAACAGTTCACTTATCTAACGATTCAGTTCCAAACTGTGTTCCTGTTTTTTTATCCCCAGTAACATACAATATTTAATTCAGCTGCAGTTTTCATGGTTGAAATAATAAAATTAGCTTAAAATGTTACATGGTAAATGTTAGCATATTAACATGCCATCTATATGCACATTAGCATGCTTACGAACATGCTAATTGCTACACGCTAAGAATGTTAACATGTTTCCTTGTTATATATTCATAAACCAATATTAGGACGTAAGCAGTGAGCTCATAGCACAGTAGAGCTTTACGCCAATGCTAATGAACACTTAGCCAAATCTACAGCTATGCTAACAGCAAAAATGGATGGAGTGTTTAGACGTTACAGTCTTGAGGGGCCACTAACTTTAGATATTGTTTATCCACTAGATGGCCTATAGACTCAACTATCATAACTAATAAGCTGCTCACGTCAGATGATGTACCATTTTACACAAAGTGTACAGTTGGTCAAAGCTTTAAAATACTGGTAACAATTGAAGGTTAAACAACTGACTAATCTAATGTGGATTTATATGCACTGTAGTTCCCAGCACTGCAGCTCTTATTGTAGCTGCTTGTTATTTAAGGCAAAAACTTGCATCAGGATTTTAACCAAGTCAATATGTAGCTATACTTATATGTATTGTAGTTAGTTAGTTTGGTGCAGGTAACTGGGGCAAGGGGGAGAACTAAAGCAGTTTATTTCTTTCTCTTGTAGGAAGCCCTAATTATCTCATCTGTTGGTGGCAGATCAGAAAAGAAATCTAAAGAAAAAATGATGGCTGACAGGAGATAACAGTCCTGCTCTCCTTCTCTTCATACTTTAGATTCTTAGAAGTACATATCTTGTAAAGAAAATTAGATTTTTAGATATTCACATCAGGAAATTGCTTAACACCAAAAGTCTAATGAAGTGAAAGCATGATTAAATCTTCATTAGGCTAGAGGTCAATTTGTAATCTGAAATTGAGTCTTCAATTGTCTAAAGGGCCTCGTCTTACAGTTAAACAGCCAAAAGTCACATGACTTGGTTCTTTTCAACCAATTTATCCTCTTTGACCCCGAGATGTTTGAATACTTTGATGATCCAAAAACTTGTCCACATTTAGTTGGATTTCTGTTGTGTAGTGCCTTTTAGGAAACAGGAATTTAAGCATTATTTGATTCAAAAGTTTAATTGGATATTTCAACATAAACTAGCAGTTTGGGACCAGGGATGGTTCAGTCAGTCTATCAGTCCAATATTTCAAGCCTGAGACAAATGCTTGTATCTCTGCTAAGGGCTGCCACTTAAGATTTTTTTTCATTATCCATTTAATCTGCTGATCATTTTATCAATTAACTGATTATTCAATTGGACGATAAAACATAAGAAAATGATGAAAAATGGCCAACACAATATCCCAGAGCACAAGATGATGTCATTAAATGTCTACTTCTGTCTGACCAACAGTTCAAAACCCCAAAATATTCATTTTAGTATCACATTAGATGAAGAAAAGCAACAAATCCTCACACTTGAGAACCTGGAACCATGAAATATTTGGTATTTTTGCTTGAAAAATAATCAATAATTAAAACTTTTTAAAAATTTTCTTTCAGTCAACTACTATATCAATGGACTAATCATTGCCGCTCTAGCTAGCACAATAACTACAACTATTGTTAGCTTTTGATGAAATTCTGTACAGACATTCGTGAGCCCAAGATGCGTACTGAATATAACAATCTCACAGGCTGTAACCGTGGCTGCAGACAATCAGATATGGGAGATGGTGAGGTATTTAGGATGTTTATCGGGCATGCATGATTTTACATTTTTACTCAACTGTCTGTTTCACAGGTACATGGGCATTGGCCTCTCAGCTCAGGGTGTAAACATGAACAGACTCCCTGGTAAGATGACACTTTGTGTGTATTTGTTTCATGTCAGTGTCTATTGCTGCTGCCTTTGGGTGTGTCTGTCTGCATGTGTCTACTCTATATTACACCAGCAGTCTTTTGCATTTGTGTGGGTGTCATTTTGTCTGTGAACTTGTTTTCCAGTCGAGAATGAGGTTGGCCTTCAATTTACTGGGTGTAGGTGTGACTGTGAATGACAGACCATTAATTTCAATGTGTTATTTGTCAATTGTCTGATTATGCATGTATCTATTCCTATTGTTGGAGAGGCTGAAATACAGGATTTCTACATGTGTGAAAAGCCCAGAGTTGTCAGGGAAATGAATGAATGTGGTAGTTCCATTCAGGGAAGGTGTTCTCTCCCCTACCATGTGCCTATAGGTACGCTATAAAAACAAACAAGCCGAAAGATAATGAATAAAAAAACAACTTGCAGGACACTGAGAGATCACAGACCAATGTCAAACAACATACACCAGTCTTCAGAGGAAAAAAATCACTGTTATATAGTAAATGATCTAGATCTGCACCAAAGTTTTATGGGTTTGTCTCTGGCCCACCCCCTATCCCTCCACCAAGTTCAGTGCAAACAGGTTCAGTTCTTTTTGTGTAATCCTGCTGACAAATAAACAAACCTTTGGAGAAACATCCTCTTTGGAGGTAAAAATTATTTCCACAGATTCAATAAATTTGATGTGTACTGTGAATTTCTGGTGCAGGCAAATGACCGTATGTAAGACTGTGTGGAAGACTTCCTGATGCATTCACCTAAAAGAAAAATTTAATGGCACTCTGTACTCCAGGGAAATGTGCAGAACGAAAAGACAACATGGAAATTTGTAAAATTGAGATGACACGGCAGTTTAAATATTTTGGAAGTATGAAATGTTGTTTTCCCTACGTTTTTTTCTTTAGTTAATATCTCACATCAACGTATGTATTGGATGCAAAAATACAAACAAGTTCAGATGTGGTTACAAAAGGAACTGCTGTAATTTCATTGCATTCACGTATGCAGGAAGTCAGAGTGAGTCTCTAACACACATGCTCTCAACTGGCTCAGCTGGAGAAGAATTGGTGTATGGTCCTAGAAACATGGAAGCTTGATAAAATCTAAAATACTTTTTTTGATCATATGCAAACCCCATCTTTGACTGTGTGTTCTTAATACATCCATGACTACACGTGTTATTTGTAATCTATTTAATAATCTAATTAATATGGTTTAACTTGATTTTCGGGGAAAATGCTTCAACAATTCTCTGCAACATAAACAGATGTAACCAAGGAGGGCACAGTTTTTTAAAACTGGTATCTAGAGTTTCTGCTGCTACTGGTTCTCTTTGCCATGACATGGTGCCATCAACACAGTGCTGGAAGTCATCAGCTCAGCTCTGTCCGCTGGGGTTATCAGGCCAAACAGGAGCCCCGGCACCCCTTCACCAATCTGAGAACTGGACCCACCCAAGAGCTCCAGACTCTCCTTACAAAGATAACAAGAGGCCCTGGGCAGACTGCAGAGTCCCAGCTGATGGATAGATGCTAATGAAAATTCACTAATTGTGAGGAACCGATGCCAGACTGCTACAGAGTTGAGTGCTTTCTTCCAGTGATGAATGTGGCAACAGCAGGATTAATTCTGCAGCTCAGCAGTAACTCACAGGATCCTGCCACTTGGTTTGTAACATTAAAACAGGCAAGAGGCCGTCCATGCTGCAGCAGAGGCTGCTGCTTCCTCCCCTCTCCCTCTGAAACTAGGATCAGACAAACGCTCAACACACACACACACACACACACACAAAAAGTTTAATTCTCTTGAACTTTTACAGAACTTGTATTTAGGAGCTTTTTAATTTTAACACATTTTTGTTCATCAGTTAAAATCATTGGATTTTTTTCTGTTTTTATGCTCGTCACAACTGATATTTACTCATGTTAAGTAAAGAGTAGAGAAACAAAACTGATCTGCAGTCTGGTAGGTGACGGAGTCAACAGCCAAAGAAAGAAATGAAGGTCAAAATGCTAAAAATCTCCAAATTCTGGGCTCGTATCCAGCTTTGTGGCGAAGCTGAATGAGCTGTGTCGTTGTGCAGCCACAGTGAAAACAACATGCTGTCCCAGAGACTGAAAAGCGTGATTTCTGAAGTGTCATGTTGCAGTTTCAGTTTCCGTAGAGTGCTCATCAGCAGTCAGTCATGTATCCTTCTTCACTGTCCTTGAGCAAGGCATTGAACCCCAGCAGGCTCATTTTAAGGTTTTGTGGGTGAGAGTGTGCGAACAGTTCAGCTTGACAACCCTCACACAAACGGGTATTTACTGAAGCTTTGGAATAATGAGACTAAACTTCTACTTTCTGGACTGGCTAAGTTTCTAAAAAGCATAGCATGAATTTCTGACTCGGTTTGTTTACACTGTTGTAAATATTTCCCCACAAAACCACAGACGCACAAATTGTGGTTAAAACAGGATTTCTGGAATTTGATTACTTAGTTTCCAGTATAACACTCCGTCGTCTTTGTCAGTGCGTGGTTGATATTTTTCTTAGGGAGATGGTGCAGATTAGTTGAAACTCTACATTAGCATTTTGTCAAATCATACATTTACATTTTAATTACTTTTGCAGTAGACTTGGTTACAGCACTGAGGTCATCCTCACATTTCGTTTCATAGGTTTAGCTCTTATGCATCATGTTTGCAGGGGACAAATTGTGTCAATGTTGCTGCCGTTGCGTCCTGTATTTGACTTCAGTGTGTCATCCCTAATTTCTTTGCGAGGCCTCTGTGTTGTTTCAATGTCATGTCAGATTCAACCATCTTTTCGCTGCCTGCATAGCACTCATATTTGAACACTTTTGCATTCACATCCTTCAGGTTGGGATAAGCACTCATATGGTTACCACGGAGACGACGGCCACTCCTTTTGCTCGTCCGGCACTGGGCAACCCTACGGACCCACGTTTACAACAGGCGACGTGATTGGCTGCTGCGTTAACCTCATCAACAACACCTGCTTCTACACAAAGAATGGCCACAGCCTAGGTATGGAGCTCAGAAACCATTTTTACCTGATATTCTATTGTATAGGTCTGTATATGTTACCTGTGGGAAAGTATTGTCGGTACACAATTATAATGATTTGGTATTTACTACTAGTATTTGCTACTATGGACACATGAGGCCATCAGAACCTATGTAAACAGGAAAAACCCGATGTACACGGCGCACTTCCTGCTGGTTTATGTCTTACTTATTTCCTGAGTGTAAATACTGCACAACTGATTCAATCAGCCAGTAGCAAGCAAGACAGTGTGCAGGAGTTAGGTTCTTTTTATTTTCATGCCTCCGCGCCGGAGACAGCGTCCCATTCTCATTGACATGATATCTCAGCAACGCCTAGAAGGAACTTCTTCAAATTTGGCACAAACATTCACTTGGACTCAAGGATGAACTGATTAGATTTTGGTGGTCAAAGGTCAAGGTCACGGTCTTCACAAAACGTGATTTTTGCCTTGTGAATGCAATATCTCCAGAACTCCTCAAGGGAATCACTTCTAGTTTTGTGCAAATGTTCATTGGACCAAAGGATGAATTGATTAGACTTTGATAGCTAAATGAAATGTCATGGTTAGCGTGGCCTCACAAAACACTTTTTAGCCATTACTCAAGACCTCACACAAATTGGTTAATATTTCAAATGATTCTGGATAAACAGGGATGTAACCTGAAACTAGTCCACTAGATTGGCGCAGACAGACAACCACGAGGTGGTAATTCTAGTTTATTACATCATTAATTTTTTTGTACAAAAAGGGTGACTAAATGTGTACCCCACTATAAGCAACAAATTAAGTGCAATTTCCTGCCAAAAATTCAGGGACCCTCACGCTCTCATGAAAACAATGTCGACAGGAAATCGGAGAATTTATTTATGCTCGACATTAACATAGCTACTGTAAAACCTACATTTACACAGAGCTAGTTACTGATCACACCCCTCCCTTCCATACTAAACTCACCTCACCCACCCCTTTTTTTTTTTTCTGTACTGTACAAATTCTGCCACAGCAATACTGGGATACATGCCTGGGTAAAGTGTTTTCAATGTCTTTCTTATTTACATGAAATTAAAAAAACAGTTTTCTGCAGAAAGATGATGGTAACCAGATTAGCTCAGTACATGTAAACACAGTGACTGTGGCCTACTGGTGTGTGCAGATGTAGAAAAGACTGTTCTCCTTCATGCTGACACTTTCCTTCTTCCTTTGCAGGTATTGCCTTCACAGACCTACCAGTAAGTACCCACATTCAGTTCACTTCTGTGTTGTAATGAAATCTTTTCAGTTTCCATAATTAATCAGGGCTGTAGGATGCGGGGCTATTTATAGAAATGCTTCATGTCCTTCAGAATGTCCACTGTAGTCAAAATGTTTACACTGCAAAATGGATCGGAGGCTGGAAAATTTGTGAGCTTCAGATGCGGATCAGAGATTTGGTGGTTCCCTGGAAAAAAAGAGGGCACAGTGGGAGAAACAAGTTTGGGCAGATTTTGCCTGAAATTAACATTGTCAAGTACTACAATATCTTAAATCACATAATAATACTAATCTGCTTGTATGTAAAAGGGGTCGCTCATCATGACAAACCCACACTCTTACAGGGAGCTTTATAACATCTTTCAGCTCATTGTTTTGGTTTCACGGTTTTGATTTACTCTTGTGTCTTCCATTGCCTTGTTTTCAGCTGTAGCAAACAGCTTTTTCTGGCAGAAAATGTCTGATAAACGCACTCCAAACTATCGGTCCAGCAGAAAACAGCAGCCAGACAAAGTTAGAGATTAGCTGGTGAACGTGATGGAGCATTTAGCAGCTAAAGAGCTAGATAATTTTCTCAGGCCTTTAAAAGATAAAACGGAGATAATAGTCATCAGCTTGTCAGAAACATGACTCCTAATGCTTATGTTGCTTTATGTCTGCTGGACGAGTGTTACGCAACTGCTAACGAGTTTACCAAATCATCTTAACCAAAGGCAATGTCAGAGTCTGGTTTACAGCTGGTTTCTGCTGCCACTTAGTAGCCAAAAAATAAGTTACTGAACGTTTAAATACTAGTTGAATAAAACGTTTTGAATCCTGTTTAGGACATCACTTGTGCTGCATTGTGTTGTTGTGGCTCATCATCAGGCGAGTCTCACCCCCATCAGCTCCCATGCTTCATTATGTAAACGGCTCCCACAAAAAATGGACATTGATTCTAATGGGATTCATGCATGTATTAACTGCATCGAAATGTGAGGGACACCCTTTTGTTTCTTGTGGTTTTTCCCCCCTTCTTGCTTGGTTGCAAATGAGAACGAGGCCGGCTGTTTTCAAGGGAGAAGAAAATAAGAGTCTTAGCCGCAACAATAATCCATTGAGCAGCAATACAGGCTTGGCTGTGAGCCAGACATTCATGTTCATCCAGAGTTGTGCTCTGAAGTGCGTCACCTCGGCACAGCTGACCTTTGTGGTTATTGGACCATGACAAAGGCAACTTTTAAGAGACACTCACACCTTTGTACTACTATTCTTAAAGGGACAAATTTCTTCCCCAACCAATTGAAACCAGTTCATTAACCCTTTGACTCAGTCCTATCTCTTTTTGAAGACTTGTCCTAACTCCAAACTTACCCTGCTACGTCATATAATCAGCTTTTGTTGTAACCACATTGTGAAACAGTAGGATTTAAAACTTTTGGTGATGCTTTCAGGGCACTTGTACCAGTCTACGAACAATCTGTCAAACACACAGTCGTCATGGTGGATGCCTCTTGTCAGTCATCTCCTTCTCATCACAGCTGTTGTAAGGGACTTAAAATAAAAAGAGGAAACAGCTGTTCTCCAAATCAAGAAATTGACATGTACTTCACCTTTTGGCAGGGACATGCAACATGCCAACAACTAGCACGGAGAACCCTTAAACAAGTCGCATCTCCAGCAAAAGGAACTATTTACTCCTGTTTGAGTAATGTTACACTACAGTGGCCATGTGCTTTACAAAATGACTGAGCCTTTTGTAAACTTGAAACTATATATTTGTCAGCCGTTTTTTTTTTTTTTTTTAAAGATTTACAACTTCAGTAGGAACCAGTGGCAGTTGGGAAGTCAGAAACTACTGAGAGACAGACTAACGCATTAGCTGGGTTTCCATTGCAGTTTTGTGCCAAATAAAAAGTTTGTTTTTTCATGTTTTTTTTTTTGTTTTTTTTGTTTTTTTTTTAAGAAAAGTCAGCAAAAAACAATTGCAAATGGTCTGTGTTTCCACATCCTCCATTGATTAGATATACTAATATGCTATGTGAATGAAGCTGGATTTTTTTTCCTCTCGCAATATCATTCCAATTAAACATGACGATGTCATTGATGTGGTGACTTGGTGTGACCAACGTTAACACAACTTTTGTGTTTATTTAAAATTCCTCACTGACAAAGATGCAATGACACATTCCTCTTCTTACCACACTGGGACCTGCTGCTTCTGCCTCTCCCTCAGCTGTCTCATTTCCTGTGCCAGCAGCTTCAGTGACCACCGACAGGAATTGAGAACTGACTTATCCGTTCACTATCCACCGTGTCTGCGTCTTCTAACATGTCTCCCTTATTCCCTCTTTCTCTCTTTCTATTTTTCTTTGCGTATTAGCAGAACAAAACAGTACAGGGGAGCGAGAGGAGAATAGTTATTCGATCGTGAATGGTGTCATTCTGATGGATTAAAAAAAATACAAATAAAATGTCAAAATGAGTCAGCGGATATACTTGGGTGGCCGTTAATGTACCTGGACTGCCCGCCCAAGTAAAGTACAGTTCGTAATTAGAAATTATTTGAAATTAGAAATTATGAACTGTTCATAATTTGCGCATTAAGCAGGTTAATGGAAACACACCTAGTGTTGGTTTTCGTCATTTTATGGGATTTGTTGACAATAACAGGATAATGGCGTAATGTCAGCTTTGTTCTTTAAACGGCATATTCTCTGCATTAATTAGCACTGAGCTGCTGAAGGTTGAGAGACGAATTAAAACTACCCTTTCCTTGCTAAATATTGGTTTAGCTGTAGCATGTGTGCTGTGTCAGCTTTGCTAACCAGACCGGAGATCCCACTGTAGCTTTTGTGATGCAGTATTGATCCATGAAAGAAACATTTATCTGGTGGTGTGGAGGTTGTAGTGATTTGGGGTTCCATAAACCCGTAGACTGAGAACAGAGAAGGACAGAAAGTGATTCAGAGTCAGGAATCTCAGCACCTTGCAATATAATCACTGAGTCACTGGTTCTGATGAACAAATCAGTACATCTATCAGCCTGATAGATGCATTACAGTCAATCTGTGCAATAAAAATCTTACTTACTGTCCCTTTTAATGAGTTTGGACCCCGTCTCCCCTGTGAAAAGATCGCCTGTCAGGCTGCAACCACTGTTTTATTATATAATCTCTGTTGGCTTGTAAAATTTTTAAGAGTTAATTGTAGATAAAAGCTTATTTCCTGAGAAGTTTGGGTTTTCCTGTTTTTCCTCTCACTGTTTCCTGTTTTGATTTATTGTTCACATTACATTCCCAAACCCTTTTCCTCTATCTCTCTCTCTCTGCCGCAGCCCAACTTGTACCCGACCGTGGGCCTTCAGACTCCAGGGGAAGTAGTGGACGCAAACTTCGGCCAGCACCCCTTTGTGTTTGACATTGAGGACTACATGCGAGAGTGGAGGACAAAGATCCAGGCCCAGATCGACCGCTTCCCCATCGGAGAACGCGAGGGCGAGTGGCAGTCTATGATCCAGAAGTAAGAGGATTGGGAAACTGAATTATTCCTCTGTAATTCTTCACAATGCACATTCATCATGGAATAATGGAGTTTAGATTTGAATACAAGCAATTTAGGCAACTGATTTTGATTTTGGAAACTGCATTTTAGTTTCATTCATTTGATGGTTACTTTTAGTCTAGTTTTAGTCAAGAAGAACTGAACACATTTTAGTCCAGTTTTCTCTGTGGAATTTTAAGGTGATTTCATACACAACCTGTTTGGTGCAATTACAAAAAACTGTGGCGTGTTTGCTCAGTTAATGCGGACAGAGTAGGCTTGAAACGGAGGATCTTGGTCCGTTTCCATGTGGACTCTGGTGCAGTTCATTTGTAGTGTAAAAACAATGGACAAAGCACAGGACTCTTTGAGACTAGATATGTGAATTTTTTTAGCTTGATTTCAAAAATTAAATTACTATTAAATCAATTTGCTGACTTTAAACTGTTCATGAAGCGATCTTATAATAGCCAAGTGCATATTTATGTGAATCATTAGTAACCATGGTAATGGGTAACCATGCAGGGATTTTCCCTGATCAGTCAAAAGAAGTTAAAACTGCTGTTTGTATCCTCAGAAGCATTTATGTGCAGACTGACCTGCTTTCAGTCAGTGATGATGCAGAATGACAATCACCAAAACTGTCCAGTCAGTGAGTTACCTGTGAGTCTGTGTGACTTCAGGTTTACTCCTCTTGGGTTTTTGTAAACAGTCAGTGTAAACCCGAACCAGACCATAACCAGAGTCTCAGACTGTTGTTTTCTAAACAGTTTCTTTAATGTGTACAGTTACCATGGTTAACTGTATGTGCTAAGCCGCTAACCCAGTCTGTCCATACCAGACTGTTACAGTTCACACACAGTGTCCATGTAACTCTGTTCTGCAGTAATACAACAGACTCACCCTCCTCAGTAAATTCAGCTTTCATTGCAAACTCTTTAGTCATTCCTGCTGAAATAAACAGGAGAAAGTAATGTTAATGTTGCATCCACATTTTCAGCGCTTGATAATGTTAACATTAGCTTATTTTTTACTGGCAGAGAGATAACTGCACTCACATGGAGCATGCTGCTTGTTAGTGCAACCAGTCAAGCAGCTCAATGAACTGACGATGAGATATTTTTGGGCAGCGGAGGATAAACTTCACAAATCACACAAATCACAAATCAGAAGCATACAGTATGTGATTCCACGGCATGCTTTCTACTGAGTGAAACTTAAAACAGTGTTCAGTTCCGTTTGTTTGGCACATTATTTTTTAGTTTTTATTTACTGATGAAAATTGTTGTTGTACACTTCGTCACTGTTTTTGTTTTCAGTGTTCAAGTTTTACTCTTTTTGGAAATTATCTCAGAATGCTTAATCTAAAATAAATTGAACATTAATTAAATTCAGCAGTTAGGGTGCACCAAGTTTTGCATTAAGTGTATGTCAAGTCAGGTCAGCTCTTATTTTTGCTTCATTATCAGGTCATATATTAGTTCAAACTGAACACTGAGACAAGTGGAAGTATTGGATTATATTATTATATTATTCTGTAGGTGACAGGAAATTACTACTGACAAAATGAGGATCAAGGCCCAGAGGGACCACTTCCCCATCAGAGAGCAGGAGCCATGATCCTGAAGTAAAAGCTGTGGGACTCAGTTTCTCTTCATGCCATGCCCTGATGGGATTAGCACTCTGTTGCTATGATTACTTGTCCAGAATGGATTTAATCTCCATTTGATGGGGATTGGGGTTGATGAGGGTGGGGTGTGTTGGTCTGGAGTGGAGTGGAGTGGAGTGGAGTCATTGCCTTTAGCCGGAAAAGTCGCTTCACGGCCTGGAATTGAAAACAGGAAGTTTTTAAGATCAGGTCAGATTGGTGGATGGGAAGTGTTATTGTCTTCCTACAGAAACAGTAACTTGATGATTTCACCGCTGCCAGCAGTTCATCCCCTCTCATCTGCCCGTTAAGAACTCAAACACTCCTGCACACACATAAAACAGTTAGTCGGTTTTCTTACACACACACACTTAAAGGATAGTTCCTGTTCCCTACAACTTACTTTCATGGATTTGGTGATGATTTGTATTTGTAATTGTAATAATAATGTTGTACTCACAGATTTAAATCCTAACACTAAAGAGAAGTCAAACGAGTCAAGAAATGCGACCAGTCCGATGATCAAACAAACTGGGAATCGGCCAACAGTTGAGCCATGCACATAAAACAAAGGCCTCCCTACATAATTATTACCCAAACTGTCCATTGTGAAGCACAGTTTACAAACTGACTTCCTGCTTCAACTTTGACCATCTGTACTTACAGTAGTTGTGTGCACACAGTTTGCCCATGCAGTAAAGGATTACTGACGTTTCACATGCACTCATTTTTAGTTTTATCTCAAACTTAAGTGGTTTAGATGATCTGGATAAACGGTTAGCTTGTTTACGTCCTGTCCGATCCTCTCACCGCTCGTGTTTCCAGAATAACTTGGTGAGTACTATGTTATAACTGAACAAGAAAACTACAAAAACAAGACCATTGCAGTGTTTTAGGCTAAAGCCTGGTTAGATATTGTTTCTGCTTGTTTCAGTCGGACTCAAATCACCTCATCATATTGAATGTTTGATTTGCAGTTTTTCTAGTTTAGTTGTGAATGGAAGTAAACTAGAAAAAAAAAACCCATTTTAGCTCAAGTCTCCACAAGAAATTTACAAGTGGACATTTCTTTGAATAACATTACTTCATCAGTGTGTAATAAGCATGTCCCAACAGAAGGACAGGCCCCATATACAGTAGTTATCTAGATACTAATGTAACACAGAAACTAAAACTCATCAGCTTTATCTGCATTGTCAGGAAACAGTGTGTGAAACCTTTGAAATGACCTGGTTTTCTGCATTAATTGGTCATAAAATGTGATCTCATCTTCATGTAAGTCACAAATGTAGACAAACACAGTGTCCCTGAGCTAATATCACATAAACAGTTATAATCTTTTGTGTCTTTACTGAACACGCCCATTAAACTTTCACTGTGCCGGTGGAAAAGGTAAGCGAAGCCTGTGATTTAATAACTGGTTGAACCTCCTTTGGAAGCAGTAACCTCAAACCAGCTCTGCTGGTAGCTGCCGATCAGACCCGTACAACATTCAGGAAGAATTAAACTTGAGCTCTAACCCACACCTCAAATCCCGTTTCATTAATTAGACTGCAGGTTTGATAACATCTGACTCCAGTTACCTTTGTTGATGCTGTTAGCTGAGGGGTTCACAAGCTTTTTCTTATCCATTCTGAAAACATCAGTCAACATTCATTTGTGTGTTATCAGTTAAAAATAGATGGTGATTGTTTGTAATTGTTATTTGCATGAAGATGCAACCGTATTTTAGGACGAATTTAGACATAAAAGGAGGTAAATCCAAAGGCTTCACTTACTTTTTCTTGTTGCCGTACGCATGCCTGTGTGATTTCTCCTGTTGCTGTGTTTAATCGGAGCGTTTTGTTTTTCGCTTGTGTTTTTTGTCCTGTCAGAATGGTGGCTTCCTACCTGGTGCACCACAGCTATTGTGCCACGGCTGAAGCCTTTGCCAAATCCACCGACCAGGCCGTACACGAGGAGCTGGCCTCCATCAAAAACCGACAGAGTGAGTCCTGCGTTGGCATGTTTGGTTTTAGGAACTAGGAGTTTTCTCAACATTTAAAATCCGATTCTGAAATTCATGTGCAAGTATGTCTGATGTTCATAGAAGTAAAAGAATGTATGGTCGCCACAAGTTATAGGCAAAACAGGGATTTACTTTTGAAATATTAAAGTAAAAATTAAGTACACCCCGGTGTTTCTGTTAGGATGGAGTTGTAGCATTGGAGGTGCCCGCAACGCATGCCCTGCCGGGAGGTTTCTATGTATCTACAGGCACCAGAGGGGCCCTTGAGCTTTAAGCAGTACATACAGTACATTTGTGCACAGTAATGAACAGGGGAAATGTCTGTCTAGCTTATGTATGATGTATCTCAAGGTGAGGAAAATACACTTTTATCGAACATAATAAAACTACAACCTCTACAACAATTATTGATGTTTATCAAACAAAAATATTGAATAACTATTCATTCTTAACTGTCCCTTTTTTCCAGAATGAACTTGCATCATCACACTGTTGTATTATCAAACACTAAAGTGTTAAATGTAACTATGTTTTCAATGATAAAATATTCCCAACATTTCCATCAAGGCAATTCTTTCCGAATAATATGTCAGGTTATTAATATGTGTTTAATTAGGACACAGCTTATTTCTTTCTTCTTGCACCATCTTTGGTGTAAAGGTCAGTGACACTATGGGCAGATGCTTGGTGACAGTGTAAATTGTCACCAAAATAGAAACGGATGATGAAGAAAATCTTTACAAATGTGATCTTTCATTATGAAGTGACCAATTCTATAAAATGCTTAATTAAAATTTTTATTTACACTAAACTGAAATGAAATCCCCACTATTTAAGCCCTCATCGTAACTGCAGTGTTACTGGGCTATTTTTGTAGCAATGTTCATATAGCAATGAGTCAGAAAATGGACACTTTGAATCTTATATTTTTTATTTATTTTTTATATTAACAAAACATAAGGAAGGTGTCAAACAAACAACATCGTCACTGAGAAGCATGGCGGCCATATTATATCATGTGAACATGTTCACTGTTGGTTTGCAGAGATCCAGAAGCTGGTGTTGTCAGGTAGAATGGGCGAGGCCATCGAGACCACCCAGCAACTCTACCCCAACCTCCTGGAGAGGAACCCAGACCTTCTCTTCATGCTCAAGTAAGACCAAGCCTGCATTTAGATGTTTCTTTTCTTTTTTAGATGTTGATTGATTCAACAAAATCGCACATTGGGTGATTGGAAGATTCTTACTTGTTGCTTTTGTTGCTAACAGCTGTTTGTCCAACCTCTGGTGGAACCCTTTATTGAGCCTGATAAATGTTGCGTAGTATTTAATGAAGATGATATTAAAGACAATAATTATTGTTGAAGGTGTAGTTTTTCATTTTAAAGTCAGAATAGATGGAGAACGTCCAAATGTGATTTGTATGTTGTTTATTGTTTTAGATGAAAGAAGATGAAGTTTTACTACGGGACATGTTTTGGAAAATGTTGATGACTTATTTAAATCACTAATGGAAGGACCTTATCATTCTCATTTAGTGATTTGTTGTTGTGTTGTTTTCCCCTCCATTATGTCATACTTTCTATTCCATTATTTCATCTTCTGTTCTCTTTTTCTCTTGTTCAACCCTCTCCTTCTCTTTCTTTTCTTCCCTTTTGTTGTTCTCTCCATCTTTGCTTGTTTCTGTGTACTCGTTTTCATCCAATCTTTGCTTCATTTTGTCTGTATATCTTCACTCTTTGCTTTCCCTCCTTTCCTGTCTTCTTTCTGCCTTTTAATCTTTCCTTGCTTGATTATGGCTTCTGTTTTTTTCCTCCCTCCTCAGGGTGAGACAGTTCATAGAGATGGTGAATGGGACAGACAGTGAGGTGAGGTGTCTGGGAGGTCGCAGCCCAAAGTCTCAGGACATTTACCCCGGCTCCCCCCGGCCCTTCAGCAGCCCCAGCCACAAAGCCAGCAGCTCCCAGCCCTACCTCACAGGTACAGTCCAGCTGCTACGTCGTCTCCAATTTACATCCAGTGATAATGACAATTAGCTTTTTACGGCTTCAGTTTCTGTTCTGAAAAATATGCTGATTATAGTCACATGAAAACACATACAAACACCAACAGTATCTGGATCGACAGTTCTGCAAGCAAAAAGGCAATGTTAATGTTACTGTGTGCAAGTTGAAAACTCATACTGTGAGTGACTTTATGAAGCTGTAACATAAATGTACAGTAGACACTGTTGGTAGGTCTGTTGTTAGCTTACAGCTAACATCTTTACAGCCTGTATATTGACACAAACAGTCCAGTGATCAAACTCATTTGAGGATGCTTCACTTTCTGGCTGAACACACCTCCACTGACACAGAGCTGCCTCTAAAAGCAATTATTACCTTGTTGAACCACAAATGTTAAAGAAAATCATCTATCATTTATTGGTTAGAGGACTCATCAGTGTTTGCACAGCCATGTCTATCACGTAACACACTTGTAAGATTTCTATCTCTCGTTGTTTTTAGGGTTTGACAGCAACTGCTGTAATGGTGTGACGTCTAATAAGAGCCACAGCTCCTCTCCTCACAGTCACAAGCCCTGCCCCCCAGGCTCTGGCTCCACCCTCCCAGCATCTGACATCAGCATCAATGGGAGCCGCAGTCAACAGCCCATAACCAGGTACCGAGGAAAACCTCGCTAACACAAACTGCATTTAATTTCATTTGCTTATAAAGCTGAATTTATGCTCCTGTGTCAAGGTGTCTGGTTGTCTAAGTAGATGACTAAATTAACTTTTCTTCACTTGCTTTCTGGTAAAGAGCAGTGACTGGAGTGAACAGTAGGAATGCATTAGAAAGGGTAGATAATAAAACACATAAAAACTGTGGGACCAACCTGCCGCCGAGCTCTCAGCCTAACAGACTAACAGAAACTGAACTTAAATACTTCAGGGATGAAGTTAATTTTGTTAAATTTCTGTTTCCTCCCTCCTCATCCTCTCTCACTCTTGTCTTTTATGGCCTCTTCCATTGACGGGCTCATATTAAATAAACCGCGCCTGCTTGACATTCAGTAACCAATCTGTAGGATAAATAATTATGTGGCTGTCACAGAAACACAAAGAGAGAATCATAAATCCACAAAGCTAAAACATCTAGTGTGTATTCAATTATTCTTCATCTTTATTTCTCTGCCATTGTAAAGTAAATATTCAGATTTAGATCTAAGCTCCACTCCTGTCTAAGATAAAATAAAAAAACAGCAGCTGAACTCCAGTGGTTTATTGACTCCACCTTGTCGCAGGGATGTAGAAGTGTGAACTCCAGGGTGTGTTAGTACACTGTGACCTCACTGTTGAGTGTGGGTGTGGTTACAGATGCAACAGAGCTCACCCATCAGTGATGCTGGGTTTAACACCTACACAAGACTTGTTCTTGCCCAGATAATGTGGTATCCCTTAAACCAGGGAACTCATGTATGTGTCATTTAGTCACATTCATTACACCAGTCACATTAAAATCAGAAAAGTGAACCTCTTTTACAAAACACTCTTCACACAGGATGTTAGTAATTTTTTAAATAGTGTCAGCTGTTCTCAAGAAATAGAGTGTGAGGTTGTGAGCTCCAACATGTTAGTTGCCAGCAAGTATTTCACATCAGATGATTCTCAGCGCTTTTATTTTCAGAGATATTATGTGGCTGAAGAGTAAATCCTTCCTGTGAACTGTCACACACGCTGAGTTTGTGTTTTTTTCCTCAGTAACGATGTGGATATGGAGGTCGACCACTTCACCAACGGAGTGACAGAATCGTCCTCGAATGGTTTCCTCAACGGCAGCTCTAAACACACCGCTGAGCCCGACGACTGTGACGCAGACATGGGTGGGTAGTGTGTGTGTGTGTGTGTGTGTGTGTGTGGAGGTGTAAGTGACTTTTATCAGCATAGCAACAAACCCCTGGTAGCTTTGACTTTCCTCTGTAAGAACAAGACAGTATCATTCTCTCTGTGTAAAAGTGACTTTGGACCACTTTGTGAGGCTTATTTTACGCTTGCTTTCATTGTAAGTCTCTTTATTATCACTCCAGCTAAATACCTGTACTGTAAATGCACCATCATATTCAGCCTACATTGTATTTAAAAAAAAAAAAAATGCCTGTTTTGCCTGTCGACCTGGCTGTGGCTCAGCAGAGGTGGAGTCTGCTCAGTCCAAGAGGCAGCTGTGTGGCGGGAGCCAGGCGGCCATCGAGAGAATGATCCATTTCGGCAGGGAGCTCCAGAGCATGAGCGAACACCTCCGCCGCGAGTGTGGCAAGAACTCTGCTAACAAGAAGATGCTCAAGGTAACACAGCGGTCGCTAAGCATATTTGACCCATGCTGCGTAAACATGTTTAACTGTACTGTTTTTTCTCCTGTAGATAAAGACTCTGTACCTCTGTTTGTGTTAAACAAGCAAAACCTTATTTATATAGCACATTCCAGTGTGCTGCTCAAAGCATGAGTTATCAAGGAAGTTGCAACAACAAAAACTGTGTGGAGAGTGTAAAGATAAAACATCACATACAAAAAATAAAACATAACACGTTTGAAGTAAAAACCCATTAAGAAAATGAAATAATTAAGACAGACAACTGATCGATTAAAAAAAGGTGTGTAAATTAAAACTAGGAAAATAGGAATGAAATGTAATTAATAAAATAATAAATAGTCCAATAAAAATTTGTAAAGAAATCCAACAGCATTTATCAGGCCTTTACTATTTACTTTACTTAGTTTTTTTTTTTTTTTTTTTTTTTTTGGTTTTTTTTTTTTTTTTTTTTTTTTTTTTTTTTTTTTTAGGTATTTTTTGTTTGTTTGTTTGTTTGTTTGTTTGTTTTTTACAAAGATAAGTTAACTACAAAAATATGAGCAACATATTAGCATTATATTCAGTCATTTTGTATCATAGCCAGTCCCAGCCATAACACTGAGCCCAAATGATTCTCGTTCTGAACACAATTCACTTGTAGGAACCTGAGCTGAGGTTTGGAACAAATGATTGTTAAATGACGTTTTCAGCAGCAATTACAGAAAGAAAATGAGTTTAAACCTAAAGTCATTAAGTCCAATAACATAGGCAGTAACTGCATTATGAAAACTTGACCTGCTAGGGGGCAGAAGAAAACCATTAACAGGCTGATGTGTTCTCTAGGGTTGTCGAAAAGCATTTTGGGAAACCTATTGTTAGTGGTATTAGTACTGCTGGAGTTAATTGTAGTATGTATTTAGGATTGTATCTTCTATATAGCGAGGGGATTTTCAAGAGCTAGAATAAAAAATGAAAACCGAGGCAGAAGAAGCTGAGATATCTGACATCCGTCAATCGGGTTAAAACAAAAACAGAAACCATATCCTACATTTCCCATAAACAGCAGCATCTTTTTGCCTTAAGAAGGGCCACTTCTTACAATCTCCACATCCCCAGATTTTAACCACCAGGCTCAGTTGCCAAGCAACCAGGGAGTTACTGGTCCCGCCCATGAAATGGTTTGGTACATAACTCACCACAAAAAAGCGAATTGTTATTTTCACACTTCGGTATTTGAATGAATTGAACAAAAAAGATATAATCTCTTAATCAGTGAGAGCTCAAGGTGCTGGTCAGAGGACTTTGTTACCTTTGCAAACACGGAGAAACATCTGGTCTGGCTCTGTTCAGTCTTTGAAAAAAGGTGAGCTTTAAGAGTGAAAGGCTTTAAGAAGAACTCCACATCATTGATGGACTGATGATGCACCATAGTGTAAGAACACGTGTGGAGGAGGAAATGAAGCAGTGTGCTGTGGTGTGATCAGTATCTGCTGCTGTCACTGTCTCCTGCTGCAGGATGCATTCAGCCTGCTGGCCTACTCAGACCCCTGGAACAGCCCAGTCGGCTACCAGCTGGACGCCATTCAGAGAGAGCCCGTCTGCTCCACTCTCAACAGTGCAATATTAGGTAGGTCAGCTGTGCACGTTGCCTGTCTTTAATATGTTTAAATTTGATGACATGAGGCAGTAGTAAAGTTACCTTGAACATATAAGATCATCAGAGAGAAGAAATGATAGAAGCTTGGATTTTTATAAGTGGCTTTGACTCTAGATTTGTATTCAATAAAATACGGTCAAACCGCAAACCTAGGCGTGTCCATGGGTAAGTGAGTTTCAAATTGACTTTTTACAAGTAGGCATGTGCAGGACAGAGGACTGTATACAGAGAGAGTAGTAGCAGCTGAGTGGCTGGATGAAAGAAGAGGTGATTACACAAAACAATGCTTTCTCATTAGGGATGCCCTGGTTGATCGGTTGCCTGTCATTATTGGCCAGTTTTCATCAAAAATACATGGTGGGTAAATGGCAATTAATGCTCCTAGTCACAGATCATCTCAAAACCGATCACCTGTGGTTAATACTCTGGTATCTGCGGCTGAGAGAAGCACTGTGTGCTGTGTAGTGTAGTCCCGCCTCCCTCCTTGTTCACTGCCACAGCATGCGACAGGCCACCAAAACATGTCGGCCGTGTGGACCTTTTAGTTTTCATAATGCAACTGAGTTAATGTTCTGAGACATTTTGCCTTTTATTTGTTAGACTATTTGCACTGTTTAGTCTATTGAATAGGCTTAATCTTTTTTTTCAGTCTGTTAATAATTGTGTTAATTCACATGATTTAAGACATGTAATTAATGAATTATTACATTGTGTATTTCAGTTGTCCTAACTGTAGAATACTTGTAGCATTGCTCCTTGGGAGTTTTTTGTTCTGCTCTGTTGAACACAGCATGTTGTTGACTGAGTAAGATGATCCCAGACCAGCCACTACACCAGCTGCTATAACCAAACTCAAATTGTTTTAAAATAATGTCATCCAAAGTTTCGCCTTCCCATCAAGCACCGGAAAGTTGAAGCGTACTGCCACCTCCTCACCCCTGACATTATTGTTCCTCTTCTTCCTCTCCAGAGACTCACAACCTGCCTAAGCAGCCCCCCCTGGCCCAGGCCGTAGGTCAGGCCGCCCAGTGCCTTGCCATCATGGCACGGACTGGCAGTGGCTCCTGCGCCTTCGCCTCTGTGGACGATTACTTGCACTAGCCCAGTGCACACACACTCTCACACACACACACACACACACATATACACACACACTGACTCTGAGGACCTGTCCAGACAATTCTCCCTCCACCTCCTCCATCAGTGTAGTCATATTAGCTGAGGAGGCGCTCCTCTGCACGATAACAAGTAGTAGAACGTGAACCATCTCACTCGCTTCTTGTTCTGCTTTTACCAGCACAAACACCACGAGGACCAGGAGATGTTTCTGGGCAGATCTTTAGAGTGCCAACACACACCACTTACATTTAAAACACAGGCAAACACACACACACCACCACCTCCCTTTCCATCATAAATATGAAATCACGCCTCCACCTTGGTTGGCCTCCCTGACCCCCCCCCCCCCCCCCCTCCAGCCCTCCAGCCGCTCCATAGGCTGCATCAACATCATTCTGACTGACAGTGGGGACGGCAGCCAAGAGTAGCCAACTTGAAAATACTCGGGAGAGCCAAACTCACGTGGACTCGGCACAGATACCCCGCCCCCGTATACCTGGGGGCATTAAAACCAGGGCAGACAGAACTGGCAAATATCCCTGGTCAAACATGAATGGAAAAATAAGGAAGAAACAACAACAACAACAACAAAAAAGAAGAGACGAGTGACCGCATGGCGACCACCTTTAACGTGTGTCCCCTGTTAAACTCTGGCTCTACCAGGGTAAACGCCACACCATGTAACACATCTGCAAAAAGCGACACACAGAAGGCGGCTGATGCTGAAAACAGGATTCAAAAAGGCCACCTCCAGAGAGGCTTTGCTGAGCGCTTCCACGCCGCAGCCAACGCAAGGCTCTGTTACAGCGGCCTACCACCCTTCACCCCCTGCAACACCCCCCACCCCTCCACCTCCGCCTCCCCCTCCTCCACCACTCCACTGACTTCAGGACATCGGCGGACATTTATGTGACGCATGTGGACTCGAGACTTTGAAGAAGCAGAGAGAATCTACAGTCTCGTCTCAAATGTTCCCTGTTTTTAATCTTTTGTTTTTGTTTCTTGTTTTTTCATGGGTGAAGTGTGGGGTGGGGTGGGGGGGTGGGGGGCTGAGGAGGCGTGGTTACCTGGCTCTTGTTTTTGTTTTTTAGTTTCTCCAGGTTTACAAGGCATGGTGCAGACGATGATCTATTATTATTATTATTATTGTTATTATTCTAATTATCATTATTATTAATTTTTGTTACTTGCATTCACAGTATATTTGTTGAGCGCCAGCAAAGAGCAAGTTCCACCAACTTATTATAAATAAAGGTCCCGATTCCACCGATTCCAGTGACGAGCGTGTGTACATGTTAACGTTTATATATGACTTTAACAAAATGGAATTATATCAATAGAGCGAGATATTTAGTTATCAAATGACAGGAAATTTTTGAAAAAAAAAAAACAAAGAAAACAAACAATCCTTTATGATATATGCTACTGGATGACAGGTGACCGCCTGAAACGTGCTGGTTGTTCCTAGTCCACAGTTTTCTGTTTCCCTTTGGTTAACTCAGGGTCTGTGCAGGTGGGAATCTGATATAATTGACCACTTCAACAGAACGACCTTATCTTCAAAGACGCTTTAATTTCCCACGTTGTTTCCCTATGTTGAGAGGTAGATCGCTGTCTCTTTACTGCAGCCTTGCTAAATTCTGTTCAAAACGACTCTTTCAAATACTTCTGTGGACAAAGTCTTGGAATTTCTGAAATTGAAACCTTGTATTGGAACCTTGTTGATGGATCCTTGACCCCACTTTTACATTGTTAACCCCCGACCCACCACCCACCCACACACACACACACATAACCCCGATGCAAATATTGTTGAATCTTTATTTTCGTATCAATGTCTCTGCTAATCCTTAACCACAACAGAGTTTTCTTGTTCTTTTTTCAGCTGTGCAGTCCGTAAGGTTTTTCAAACCACAACAACTGAGGCTGCTGTGAAGGCAGCCTTAAACGAGCTCTGTGTTTGATTTGAAAGTTGAACTGAAATTCAATTTCTTCTCAGTTGAAGCTGAATACTTTTTCTTCGGTTTTTCAAAAAGGGATTAAAGTTGTTTTTTGGGTTTTTTTTTTTTTTTTGACATTTATGTTTAAGCTTAATCTAACAGCCACGTTAGTGAGTATGGACAGAAAACTAAAAGCCAGAAATAATGAACATTGTCAGTTCTTATAATCTCCAAACCTTTGATACAAAGACATTTTTCTTCCTTTTTGCAACAAGTCATGATAGTAGTGATAGGTTATCCAGCGGTTAGCAATTCAAACTGTCTGTCCCTTTTGTCAAATTCAGCTGTTTGGCGAGGATTCATTGTTGCTTGTGAAGTTTTGTATATTCCCTAAAAGTGGACAGTAGAAGCCTAGTCAGCCTGGTTTGATCCGCACTAGATGTTACTTCTCCCACATGTTGTTGTAACAGCTGTGAATCATCAGCAGCCTGCACGCTTGTGGCTGCAGGATACAAGACAATTATTGCTGTGAATTTTCTACCACATCTAAGTATGTTATTGCATACACTTGAATGATTGACACAGAGTTAAAGTTTTGTAGGGTTGGGACTAGCTGTGGTTCCCATGGAACCTTAATAGTGATTTTCTTTTTTTCATGGAGCTGTAAAACCAGTTATCATTCAAATCAGATCGGACAGTTAATTTGATCGGCTCAGGTTCAGTCCAGGTGTATCGGCTTTCCATCACTTGGCTCCGATTGCTGTTTCTGTTTTCTGTGCACCAAAATCAGGTCCTCTGAAAAACGTGTCTGGCAACCATGAGCTTTTTTTTTTTTTTTTTATCAGCGGTCTTAGCTGCAGCATATATGGAAAATAAATTCGGCAGCACTCTTGTTTGTCTTAAACGGTACATCAGGTGTCGCAGCAGCCACTCGCCTCCCCAGCTGGTTAACTAAAGCAATAATGGGAACTACACTTAGTGCCGCCTACACTGATGAGTGATAAGTCAAATATCTGATGCTACATCAACAGTGGCTCCCAAAAACTTCACAAGGTGAGGTATCATTGCAAAAGAATATAAAAAATTAAACCCTAATTATTTCTTTTTAGTTATAACAGTTTTGCCCAAAATAAATACTCAAGTCAAATCAACACACAAGGTAAATGTTCTATTTATGTCTTTGAAAAATAGAATTTTTAATTTCAGTTCAATTTTTAATGTTGGATAGTTTGCTTGTTTTGTTTTCAGTTGATCTGATTCTTAACATCAACCCCACAGTGGCTCACGTCCCAGTTTTTCCCTGGTAGTGTTTTGCTATCAAGCTATAATTTTCTCAATTTTTCTAAATGCTTAAAATAGCAAATATTTAAAATAGCAGACCTAGATGCTATTTCATAGAAATAGCATCTAGGTCTGCAAAGCCCCATGTCCACCTGTTCTCCAGCTATCCATGTCACCCATCATCTTTCTCTGTCCACCAGGTTTTATTTTATTTTTGTTTTTATTTTCTGTTTACCAGATCCTTCTCCGGCCTCTTCGTGCTCAAAGCATCGATGGGGCAATACAAAAAGGAAAAGCCATGAGAAAAAAAAAAAAAAAAAAAAAGTTTAATTGTCCACTGCACTGTGGATACCACACTTACAAAAATAAAGAACCCAAATACTTTAGGAGAATCCTTCGCAGCTGTGTTTGAACCTGTGTGGTTGTGCTCGCCACTTGCAGAGAAACAGGAATGCGAGAACTTTGCTAGACACGACCTCCATCTTTTTCCTTTCGTTTTTTCCCAGGGGTCCAGAGTTTGACATTTCTCCTCACGGTGGATCAGAGCTTTTTCTGTACTTGGTTGGTTTTCTTGCTTTTTTTATTTTATTTTATTTTTTTTGTTTGTTTTGTTGTTTTTGTTATTTTTTCCTGGATTGCAAAGAGTACGGCATCGTTTAGCACAAAATTTCTTAGGACAAAGTTGTCTGTTGTCTCTTTCTGAGTAAGGTCTGAAAGCTATTGCCTGCATGCCAAGCCATAGCTAAACGTGGTGGTAAGATCAAGTTAGATGTCTCTTATTTTATTTCTTTTTGTTTCTCCTTCCTTTTAGCCCAGTTCCACGGTGTAATAAGGAAGAATGTCAACCAGTAGTAGTTGTCCACGTGCTGACTGGTGTTGTCCATTTCGGAACCAGAAAAAATGTATTCAGTCCCACAATCAACCATGAACGAACTTCCTCAGTCGCAGGAGCGCTTGAAAAGATTTTATATATAAAAAGACACTGATGCTCGAACTTGTCTGGACCGTGCTGCGACTTAAGCATACGCCTAGTCAAGATAGCTGAAGTCTTCCCTCTGCTGTGGAAACCAGTTCAACGTCCTGTTCCATGTGAGCAACTCGACGGCTACCACGACACGAGTTCCAACTTTAAGATCCTGACCATGACTGTTACTCCGAACATAATCCTGCAAGAATATTTTTTCCCTGCATTCTGAACACACTAACCCACATGTGAAGCCCTTTAAGAAAGTCGACCTTAAAACACAGTTACTAGCTGATGACGATGTCATATTCCCCCCCCCTGAAACCTTTTAAACCCCTCCCCTTCCTTTCCTTAAAAACCGCATTAAACCTAGATAATATAGGACTAACAAGTGAACCAATATGTGTTCAATATTGATTTAGTCCTGTCAGTCTGTATATCAAGAATATTATGCAAAGATATATGCACCAAACATGCGTCCATCTACTAGCTTTTTCCTCAAAGAGTATGTCTATCACTCGCAGGTAAAACAAATTAACTGCAACCAGTATTTCTAAAATGACACAGGCATATTTTTTTGGCCATTTCTTTACTGCATCTTTTTTGTCACTACTCTCTCTCTTATATTTCAGTAGTAAATATTATCTTGATAAAAATAACTATTGAGTCAGACAAAAAACATTTGTAACATGACTTTAAATGAGAGAGTTGTTTCCTGATTTAATTTTTTTTTTGGCCAGTGGTTCCCAATCTGGATCACAATTATATAAATTTCAGTGGCCTGTAGACATGGCGTCGACCCGAGAGAGTGTGAGATATACCTTATAACATTTGTAGTTGAAGCCGAGTTAAGTCGACAAACCTACTGAATTCGAGATCATTTTGTGGAATTTTTCGTTCTGGATGTCTTCAGGGTTCTTTCAAACAAAATGTTGAACAAACATTCCCTCCTGGGATCATGCACGGAACTCATCAAAGTCAAAGAGCAGAGATGACGAGAAATTCAATATGGAGTCAAAGCAATTTTTATATCCTACAAAGTACAAATCTGACATGGAAGGAAACAGGAACGGATATATTCTTTATCCTCTGTACCAACCATGCTTTCTCCTAAGAGAGTCATCCATATAATCCGACTGAGT